GTAACTGGCAAAATATTCTTGCGCTCTTTGATGGTACTCCACAACTTCTTAATTTCCTTTTGTGCTCCTCTGACAGGTAAGCAATTTTATATCATTTTAATTAGAATCTGAAGAGCTGGTAATTAATTAAATATAATAAAGCGTAATTAAACACGAAATAAATGCAGCTGTAGTCGTAATAAGGTCAAGCCATTAGTACAACATTGTCAGTTTTACTGTATTCAGCTACCTAAAGCAGTTCGGTGTGATCACGCATTGCTTGCCGTGAATCCTTTTCCACAATATCTCTAGTGCCCACCAGCGGCCGAGCGGTAAAGACGCTGAACACTGGTAGTTCGGTCTGAGGTTCGAATACCGCGAACGGGCTGGCTGCATGGGCGTTTTCGTGGTTTTCCCCATGTGTAACGTGTATACGAGCCAGTTTTCCTAAGTAAGTCCTTCACGAAAGTCATCCCCCCCTTTAGGCAAATAGCCCTCATGTGCTTTGCCTTAACTGAATAATCCAATGCAATCCACAGTATCTCTAACCAGCCTTATTTGGAGATGCAGAATATTGTTTACACGTATGGAGCTCCATGCGGTAATTTATAATAATTCTTCAGAAAACAATAAATTGTCGTTATAGAACGAATGTCTTTCATGGACATGCAATAGAAGCTTGCTTGTTCCAGACTTTCTCCAGAAGATAAATAGTGCAGAATCACTATTTAAACCGAATCTAGATTCATTGTGAAAGAACTCAGGCCAGTCATCTTGACTGCACTGACTCTAGACCAGCGGTCGCCGACCCTTAGAACTTCATGGGCCACTATATATATATAATTTTATATTTGACGGACCACTAACGTGAAAAAAAACTTAAAAACAACATATTAATAGACAAAATATTCAACTTTCCAATACATGTAATTCTAATTTTCATCTGTTAATATAATTTTGGAAACATTTGGTGTTCAGCAGCATGCCTTTATGGAAATTCAGGCTACTCCCCTGATTATGAGTAACAATTAAAACACTGTTAACATCTCACTGATATACCTATTTCGTTCACATTGAAAAATTACATGAAAAGTACAAAAATCTTACCTTCTTGCACAGAAAGCTTCACATTTCTATATCACCGAAAAGGAACTTCACGAAAAGCAAGAACAAACATGCAAACGCAAAGCAATATTAATAAACTGAAAGTGTTATGCCACTAATTTTTAATTATTGTAAACTTGATAATCATCGCTTACTCAGCAATGGCGCCATAGATCAATAGTTAGACAAAACGAAAATGGAAACGTCCAATGATGCAATTATAAACAATAAGTTCTCATAAAAATCCATCAAGTTGCCTATTGACACAGAGGAAAAGTGTGTTATTAACGACTACAATAGTATATGTTTGTAATTCAAAAGGAAAGAGAATTCCAGTTCACACTGTTATTGATAACAGCAGCATATCCATGGATGCCAACTGTCACTTTCAAATGTCGCTAGATACACCTGCAAAAGTAGCTAAAATACGCTAAATTCAAAAGGAATTTCGCTAAAAGTAGTAGCTAAAATTTAAAAAACGTATAATCCATATTCCATAATAGGTTTTTTTCTTCGTCATTTTTTTTTATCTGAATCCTCATAAAAATATAAGTGATGTCCCAATTTTTCTGCGGACCATCAAAACGTTTTCACGAACCACCGGTTGGCGATCGCTTAGACTATTTACGACCAGACGATACCATTCAAAACACTCTTTCTGGAAGACATAGCAAGCGAGAACGAGATGGTCTCGCTTGCGCCATATTCATGAAGTCTTCGGTAAGCAATAATTCTGCTTATTCGAGTAACCGTGACTACCGATAGATCCTAAGACATTTGTCTAGTGGTTGTGTTTTCATATCAGCAATGAGATTTTAAAGCTTAGAACGTTTTCCACTAAAGTGTTATTTTTTCTTTAGGCAGATTACCCTCATATGACTTTAAAAAATCTATATCTAAATAATCCAGTTCAATCCATATGCTTTGAGATTAGCTTTGGGAAATATTCATCTCTTTAGAAATATCCGAATATGTTTAAATCGTTTTAACGTTAATTTAAATGTTGTCTATCAGACTTGATTATTAACATATGATCACCACTTTCAAACTTCCAGTTTCATAACATGTGAACTCAACAAAGAACATGCTTCCTTTTATGATTTGTTCACGTTCAACTTACCCACACGTTCGGAGAGCAAACGCATGCGCAGCTATACATTTTGATGTTCCACAACATAAAATTACCATAAATAATTATAACCAATGGATTTTGATTATCTTTATAGTTAGCGTCTATTTTAAAATATGTTTTAATTTTCAGCACCAGTGTTAAAGCATTAAGGAAATATATTTCTTGGATATACGAAGCAAAGCCTATGTAATTCTCTGCAATTCTTTGTTTGTTTGTTTGTTCACTTACCTGGCTTAAACCGTAAGCAAGATTTGATGAGAAATAATAAGTATATGAGGAAACAAAATTAAAACAAAAGGCATTACGCTGTTGTTAGTAATAATAATTCTCAGTTCAAATGATTCCTTTGAAAATTTGTGCTTTGCTTTTACGGGAATGCCGATGATTCATGTATCTCTAATTAATCTTCAAGTGAATCACTAGCTTCTTGTGGTACATAAGTTTCACTTAGATATACGAGTAATGACGTTCAGACGAGAAATCATATCTCTCTTCTCAGTAGCTCCAGTAGTTAGCACCAAGTGTTAAAAATATATGTAATACCCCTGAAGTATGGGTGTGCCCGCAGAAATAAATTCATTCGAATAGAAGAAATATATTCGATGATTTTTAAGATCGTTTGTGACGTGACCAACCTTAGAGAAGGAAGAGAATGAGGGCCACCCAGCTAGAAAATGAACAATAATTAGAAGTTACAGAGCTCGTGATTTCTATATTTGCCTGCAGTAACCTTATATATTTGCAAAACTGAAAGTATTTTTGAACAGAGCCTCGGGTTAAAACCGGAAAATGTATGAAAACTATTTTATATTATGTGGTATCTCTATAACGATTAGGAATTAAAGTTTTGACCATTTACGTTTCACTGAAGTTTCGATGTTAGATGTCCTTAGCGCAGTCCATCCAAAATTTTGGACCGTTACGTTCAGTTGCGCTACCATGCGTATGTCATCCACTCTCTTTGGAATCCGTTGTCTTGCGCAAAACATAAGAAAGATCTCTAGTTTACCTTTTTTTATGGTTTTGCATATAATCAGTTTACTGAGAAATTCTATTTAAAATAATCAGTATTTACTAAATAAGCTAAGTGATTTAAAAGTAGATTCTGTATTTTACCTTTAACGATTAATTTAATTGATATCAATTAAAATAAATTTAGTTGATATCAATTAAATTAAAAAAAAATTCAGTTTATAATAGAGTCAACTGCTAGCTTTTATAGACATTTGCAGTAATATTTCAATTAATGAAAGCTCTTTCTAATGCCATGTATTACGTACCTGGTGCAGAATCATTATTTACGAAGGAAGATGACAATATGCATAATAAATTTTAATAAATTTAACGAGCTATAATTAAATAAATATTAAAATTGCTTTAGTGTGTAATTATGTAATGACAAATGCTTGGCTAGGTTGATGAAAAGTATTAAAGACACGTATTATTTCAAGCGTGTTTTTTCATGCAATATGGAATTTTGTTTCATGTGGTTCTGAGTCCATACTTTTTAACAACACATCTAATTCATATAAACAGTATAATTCATACAAAATGTTTCTAATGCTGTTTATTACGTACATGATGCAGAACTTTGTTTTAAATAAAAACTTCCCTATTTATTTAAAACCTAACCAGATTCCGTAAAATTTCTTTTTTTTTTTCCTTTTCGACATCCTTCTACATTGTGTTACCGTGGAAGTAGGGAGGAAATTTTAAGAAAATAAAATACATTAATTTATTTGGTAAGGTTATTTTGTATATATATATACAAAATATCAACCTAAATTTCGATATGCAGCACAAGATCTGTATTATGCATTTTTTTCCTGAATTTTGATTAATTTTCATTGCTAAAATTAGTCATGTCAGTCTTTCGATTCCTAACCTAAAAAGTTCTTAAATGTTTCAACTGAAAACCTTGGAAAGATTAACTTGAATGATATTCGGTTAATCAAGGAAAGAACGCGAATATTGCAATTATGAATGAATTACCTCTACAACTTTATGATGGCTGTGAAAGCCCAAATGCCATTTGAGTATGCTACACTGTTTCGTGGGATGAATTGCGTCGAAGTTTTTAAATAATCAGCACGCTGCTTTTTTCTTGAAACGTTTCGGACTAATTCTCGCATTGCGTACATAATTTTTGTCATACATAATCTACTATTAATTAATACTTGATGTTTCTAGCAGTCTATGCCATGATGTATAAATTTTGCATAGTGTACACAGCTGCAGTTAATCTGTTAGCTGTACTACTCATCAAGATGATGTTAAATTTGAACTGTTAACTGAAATCTGAACTGGCGGAATTTTGGCAGCCAGTTTACAGTACATTCAGTTAACAGTCACACATTTTGGCAAATTCAGGAGAGAAATGAACTTCCGAATTCAAATTATGTACTTCATGTACTAGATTTTAGTATTTTCTTAATAAATATATTTTTGGAAAATCTGTCTTTAAACATATTAATTAAGAGAAGATTTCAAATTTTACTTTGCTAAAAAATCTTTAAATATTAAGCAAATGCATTTTTCTAATTATAATTTTTCTTACTTGGAGGACTTGTGAGATTTGAGATTCAGAAGTTTGAGAACCTTTTAGCATTTCGAATCCACTTCGGATGCGAGAAAGTTTAGGGTTCATCTTAGCACTATATCACAATTTTAATAACTATTAAGCTTTTTTACGCGTAATTAATAATTATTACAAATATTAAATTTCTGCAAGGCATGTTCAATGCAACGCATCTTCTGATTAATGTTTCATTCTGTTTAATTTCAGACTGGTTTAATAAAAACAGATACCACCGATTTTTTAATTGAACCTGTGGATACCAACGATGGTATAACAAAGCCACATATCATAAGAAAGAGATCTATCAGACGTTCACATAAAGCGGCTATGAAAAATGAAAGTTCTGAAAATGATAACCAAACATATTTTTGCGGACGGAGGAGACGATGTAAGTTGAAATTATGCTTTTCTCTTATAAAGTGCTATTGTGCTATAATGCTGTGTTTTCAAACTCGCGATCAATAGGCCGAATGTTGCTTCCGAAGCCTATGCGAGTAGCGAATGCATTTCATTGTCTATCTGTTGGAAATATGTGGCTTAAATGTGTAAAAATTTAGCTTATGTGTGGGAGTGCTATTAAAGAGAAAAAATGGAATGAATAAGTTGGTGTTGGTGCTTTACCACTGTATGCTTATACGCCAGGCCTCGAGACTTAAATAAAAGTGGCAGAATTTTCCACGTTGATACAGCAAGTAAATTTACTCGTACTTTGCAAGTCGACAATTGATAGCGCTTCAGTATTCTGATGTTTCCCTATCTAAAATGTAATATTTAGCTATCGGTACGTTTGAATTAAAGTATTATCAAAAGAAATTTCTTTCAGGTATCAACCTTTAGAAAATAGATAAATATAGAAATAAGAAAAATACAAAACTACTAAAGAATACAAATTTAAAAAAAATCTGAAAGATTTCAGATTTTTTTAACGTTTTGTGTGTTACCTTTATTTATTAAATATCATGTTCTTCGCACCTAAACCATAAAATTCAGTTCAACAGCAATGTCGCAAGCGCTGGAGATTTTTTTTTCCTGTACAACCTTGCGATGGTTCGCTTTGAAATCCTTGAAATTGTTAAACAAAGATTCGTAAAGTTTTACAAAATATGAAATCGATATTAAAAATTCCAAATTTCAAATTTGGGCTTTCAGATGCCCATATTCGCAGTAGGTTTACGTCATTCAAAATTGGATGGATCTAGGTACCGTTGTTTTATCACAATGCGAGAAACATACATACATTTATGCAGATTCTTCATTATTTAATTTCTTCAAATATAATATAGGGCGAGAGTATTTGGTGGCGACGATTTGAAAAGTGATACAGCCTTAGTTTCAGCAGAAAATCGCAAAACGAAAACAATAGTCCTTCAGGGGCAAAGTCCCTTTGGACTAAAAATATAAATTTTAATTTTTTCATGTGCGTTGTTAATATTATTGCTTATACATATTTCAATAAATATCTAGTCAGTGAAATTTAAAATATGGTTTTTTTTTTTTTTTTTTTTGTTTTGTTAAAAATGCTCTTAAGTTTTATCAAAAATTATTCTGGTCTGTGAGCTACTTTCAAATCGTACATGCGTGCCGTATTCAATTTGAGTTTTTTTTTTTTTTTTTTTTGTATGTAAAGAGTTTATGAACATCATTCCTCTCATCACTTCCTAAATTCATTTCCGATGACATTTCGAAAATGAGAATTTACATATTCTTTTAGATTAAATAAAATCCTAAAACAGACTGCACTTTCTCAGATTTAGATTTGAGAAAATTTAGAATTCTTCCAGCCTCTACTTAATAGTTATGCAAAGAGTGAAGTTTTCTTTATTCAGAAGCTTAGTCATTTTTCTTAAAAATTAATGAGATTTTTCCAGAAAGTGCTTTTTTGAAAGCAAATCTTCATTCTTTTGTTCTTTTATTAATTTTTAAAATAGGTAAAAGTAAATATAAACAAAGTCATTTGACAACACTTACGTGTTTTATAAAATATTGTATTCAATATCAGTCATACTGAGCTATATTATTTTTAAAGAATTGAATCTTAAAGATCTTCTATTCGATTCGAAATATCATACCTCATGATAACAATAACAATGATGTTTTCATACAGATGGAATACATACTTGTATATATTATATCGCGCTGCTTGAAATCTGATATACTATATACTTATTATACGTAACATATTAACTTACTGTCTGTAGCATTTCTCTCTGCTTATCACATGTCATTGTGGCAAAGCTGAAAGTACGTCTGGCTAGCAGTCGGAGGTCTGGAGTTTAAATACCGTTAGGACATAGCGCATTTTTCCTTTTTTCTTCTTAGACAAACCTAATGTCTCTGCAATTGTACATAACACATTTAATGTTTGTACTGTTAATACACGGTTTTGGAGTAATGTTTACCCTGACATTCATAAAACTGTAAATATTAAAAGATAATGATTGTTTAATTTCTAAACGTATTATAAAATTAGATCAAAAGTATGTTTCAGCATGTAAATTAATCTGAACAATTAATCTGATTTTTAAAATGCTCCATTTTTCATAAAAGGCTAAATTCCCTTCCCCCAATTTATAATTGTTTAATAGTTTCAGTTTTTGTATTTTGGTTTGAGGTTTTGACCGTCATATGTTAGTTGCGTCAAAACTCTTTCTATCTCTCCCTTAATTAAACTTTATATATTATTGATAATATTTGTTTCTTTTGTAACAGATATGATTTTAAGGAAGACGAGTATGACTTTTACCTTATGTCTACGTACTTATATGACCTGTCCTCTCTGTTCTTCCCACAAAAATGCAAAAACAAGGTAGATAATTAAAGGGTTTTTTTGGCGGGCGGTCTTCACCAACGGGTTGGCTGATGTAATAGAAGTGTACATTTTGGCAAGAAAGCCCTGTTGATGTAACTGTCAGTATTCCTAACACAGTGCATGTTCCCCAGAGTTGTATAGACTAATGGCAAATATGCTAAGGAGCAAGGTTCCGCTTTCAGCATTCTGGATTTTTATGTGATACATTGTAAATTTATGCGAGAAAAACTAAGCATAATGCACTACATACTTGGCGCTTTAAATCACAAAGTTCAAAAATTAACTCACCTTAAAATGAAAAATGGACGGTACACAATGTAGCATATGCATTATCGTGTCAGTACATACTGTGCAGCAAAGAAACATAAACATTGTAGGGTTTATATTTATTTTAACTAACATTTATTTTAAGTTTAAACTATCTTTCCTGTCAAGCCTTACTTTTCCCTGGAACTGCCAATGCCAGAGTATGTAAATTTTAGTACAACGCGCAAAGATTCAAATTATCAGCGGAAGTATTCTGAGTTAAATAGAAAGGAAACGAGTTCGAGATGTGCTGTTCTTACTTCACGAGCGCGGAGGTAGTTATCCAGAAATTGAAGAACCCCGCGTTTCGGCCTGTGTGCTTGCCTCGGAGAATTGTTAATCGTTCAACGTGATATTCAAAGTTAGCTGAATTAGCAGCGGTATTGTAAAACGCGGTGAGGTTAGTTACTTTTAGAGAGCCTCGTAGTTAGAGTCTTGTTATTATTTTCTTTTCAGGTTCTTATTTTTATTTTACCGCCGGGTCGGCGTAGTTTGTGAGCGTCAAGAGCACGCAATTGTAATTTCTTAAGTTGAATAAAAAGGGACTTAAACCCTTAGCAAGACTCTGTCTATTTTCCAGTTTCAACAGTCACCTCTTGGTTGCGTGCAGGTTGGAGGCGCGCAACTCTACAACATTATGCAGCACATTATTTGAAATTTTGAAATACAGATTTTTAGAAACTAGTATACAGTAGGAAAAAGATGTAGGTCATATTTCGCATAATGGAGAAATACATCAGATATAATAAAATATAATTCAATAATCTGTTATACAACATAATTCATAAAATTACTAAGTAACGTTTAAATTCCTAATGCTTAAAATACAATACAATACAGTGCTGCGCAGGTAGAAGTGAGAAAGTGGCTCTGGTGCTGTTTGAGACGACAGCTGATCTATTATTATTATTATTGTCTGTTCAGAGTGTTATGAGAAATACTTTACGTACGCATTCTGATGGGTATTGCCTGCACATACTTGTTAATGTACTTTGAACCTTAGATTGCTGCCTTAAATGAAATGCTGCTGTTTCATGAGATTGAAGAAAATAGTGAAAATACACTTGTCGTTGTCCCAGAGACCAAAATCTGTACAAGTAAGACAAAAAAGGCCTCTGTTCTGTTTAGACTTGTCTAACATTAAGACAGTGACTAATTAACTGCTATGCTGATTTAGGAAAGAACATGCAGACACGGCTACCAGTTGGGTCAGTTTCCCAGATATACTGCGGCTCAATCGAAATATTTCTCTTTAGTTCTATCTTCATATTTAGGCCTGGAAGGGTCACATTTAGTGTATTGTCTCAGTAGCTGGTCTTTTAGATTCTGAATTAGCCATCTTGTTTCTCAGTATTCTACAGTTCCTACATTCTATTTTTCAGTAGGTAGGAACCCATTGGAAATAAAGCCTGTTGTGTTTGAGGCAGGCTGTGGTGGTTTTGCATGTACCTGAAAATTGTATTTATGCTGGTTAAATCTTTCATTGTCTGTTAGCTGGAAACCGAGTCCGTAAAGATTAAATTGTATTTATTTTTCAAGGCGTAGACAAATGAAGCTTTCACTGTAATGAACTCAGCTTGAGAGACTGAATTGTGTTTCTTCGACTTGCTTATCTGATGTGAATCTCAATAAAAGTCCAGTATCAAGCTCTTTTTTCGATTGCCCTCCGTGCAGATAGTCATGGCTTTCAACTTAACCTAAAAAAAAACTTAGTATAACTACTGGAACGTTGCCCAGAAACCAACTGGAAAATGGTTATAAGACTACAGGCCAACTTAAAACTTTCTGATATTGCAAGTCAAACAAATTTCCCTAGCGTATCTTTTGATTTCTACAAAAACGAGCTTGTTCATTTTGAAATTCTTCAGCGTAATTCTTAGCAAAGACTCTGCAATGCACGCCGTAAAACTTCTCGACCTCAGAAAAGCAACTTTTGTCAGCTCGTATAAAGAAAAATCAGTTGATATAAGCAAAACATTATGCAGCATGAAACCTATCAATTAAGAAAACATCCTTTTTTCGAATGAGCTCATTTAATGGACTACTTTTGATGTTCACAAAAAGTAATGAAGTCTTCAAGCGAAGATGTATCTCTTGAAATGTTCACTTTTAAAGCACAACAAAACTTTAAAGTATCATAAAAATTGTTCTCGGCGTTTTTAATATCCATGATATAAGGTTTTTTAAGCTCTTCAGTAATACAATAAACTCATAACAATTACTTAAAACTGTTTCTAGTGAAACAAAAGTGCCTTCTCGAAATAAAATCTTTCAGTGAGATATTGAACTATACCACAAATTGAAGAAAATTTGCGAATGCTTTTCATATGCATAAAATCTGGGCTCTTGAGCACCCAGAAAACTCATCTAATCTTTCTTAAATTGAGAATCACTAGTCAGTCATTAAAAGAAGGTTAAAAACAGGACAAAGCCTCGATAAATTTCTCAAATGACAGCATCACCAAAGTTAGTTTTATGATGACGAAGTGAAATTAATGGGTGAAAACCAAAACCAAAAGTGTGGAATATGTTATCGAAGACAAAGGGCGGCATATTTCATATCTGGCTTACTATTAAATTTTGTAAACTCATATTTTATTAAAATTATATTTTTATTTGCTACACTGAAATTAATTTTCACATTACTGTTTTTCCGTATCCATTTATGTAAATAAATATAAATTTCTTGACATATTTTTGTAAAACATTTTAATAAAATATACTGTCTTATTATAATTTGTTTTTTATGCTATTATTTCGAAGATATGCCACACAAACCTCGTAGGAAAGACTTCTGGTTACCAGATGAATTTGCTGCAGTCAACAACACCCGCAACAAGACTAAAAGTCATCGTATAAGAAGATGGTCTGGAAATGAATTTTCCAGCTTTCAAGATAATGTCCAAGGACAAAAGCGGAACCATCCACAAAGAAGGAACAGAAGAAGCGTGGAAACCCTTGTAGTCGCTGATAGAGAGATGGTCCGGAAGCATGGAACTGAGAATGTTACCACATACCTTCTGACAGTATTTAATATGGTATACAAGTTTTATTACATTCATATATTTCCATACTTTCAAAGAAAATGTTTAGAAACATAATTTAAAATTCTAAATATCATTCTCTTTCAGGTAGCAATGCTTTACCAGGACTCAACAATAGGTAGCAATGTTAGCGTCATTCTGGTTGGACTTGTTTTACTTGAAGGCGATGAGGTATTTTTATTCTGATTAAAATACTCTTTTGCCATCATTTCGTAAATACATTTACATATATATTAATAAGTTATTTCTTACGACTTGTTCTTAAGTATCCTAAGAATACTAATTTTTAACTACACTATTTCATATTCTTTTGCTGATTCAAATTGCTGCAAAATAATGCAAAATGATGATTTTACGTTTCATCATTAGTTTTTTCCAATTTTAAGAACATTAATGACTGTTTAATTACATGAAATGAATGTACAATTATGCACGCAAGGAACGTGTCAAGATACGTTATGTATACACAAGAAACATTATGCATACAAAATATACACGTTTTTGCAAAGTTTTGAAACTGCCTGTGTACCATTTTCCCGATATCAGACGTGGCAATTTTTACTGAGTTTTGCAAAGTTTATTATTTTAACCTGCAAGTGGACAGTGATGGTTTGTAGTATATAGTCACAATGAATGGAAGCACCTAGTACATTTTGCCACGGCTGCTAAAAACATGTTTCTATAACTATAGCGGCTGAGATGTGATTGGACTTTCTATTAAAGATGGGAAAAGGCATGAGAACTTGAAGTATTTTAATATGCATATGGTACTGAAATACTTAATCATAATTTGGTACTTCAATGATAAAAGAACTTCAGGGAACTTCAGTGGCAGTGATCGATTATTTGAATATAGCAAAGCACATGAGGATTATCTGTTTAAGGGAAGGGATGCATTCAGGAAGGACTTTCTGAAAGAAATTAGTTCATATTCAAGATATATAACGTAAAAACCAGGAAAATCAGCCACGTAGCCAATCCACTCTCTTGGGTTCGAACTCAGGACGAATAACTAGTCGTCAGTTTTAACCCCTCGGCCACTGGTAGGGCCCTTGTCAGTAGTCGACAAAGCACAATGTGCTTCTCTTACGTATGTCAACTTTTCTATCTCTTGGGCAGAGAGTGGAACGTGACTTTTATGTAAATGTTTCGAAAAATATTTGTGTGGAGCCAAAAATAGTTGCGTTTGAAGGAATTATTTTAGATGAGAAAACTCAAAACGAATGCTTAAAGTGCTAAAGAGGATCTCGAAAAACAATCTGTTTCATGTTTTCGGATCAATTATTAGACGCTTTGAAATATATAATTTAATCTAAAGAACTGAAATTTAAAGAAAATAAACTACCGAGACCGTCAAGTCATCTGTTTCTGAATAAGAGAATCTCAGACTTTCAGTCAGTCTACTCAATCTTTTTACTTCGAAAATGCTGCAATACTACATACTGCTGAAAATGATTATTATTCATTTTGAGTTTTGTTTTCATTCTTTTTCAAATATTTTACTATTTTTCTTGAGAACTATCGCTAAACGTTTTTTATCTCTGACATGGATATCAAACGCAGAAAACATTCTGAGATAATCAGGTTTGAATACAATTATTGTGATTATTATATTATACATTTGCTAAATTTTAAGAATTGTAGCTAAACATCAAATTAACTACAGCCTACTTAGTAATAGAATCATTTAACAATCAAGTGTTTAAAATGTTTAATCACAAACGACTTTATTATACTTATTCTTAGTTTCTCTTGTTTCCTCAATAATACTTAATTTTGCATCATTAGGATGGTGACTTAAAATCATTCGTTTGCAACTTTTAAAACACGTAAAATTTGCTCTTAACATTGTCTTCTCCTTGGTGGTTGTAATATAATGTACCTTCATGTCAATGCAAGAAGATGCAATGCAACAAAGCAGCGAAAAATCCGACTGAATCTTTAAAAATAAGGCCTCTTTTAAAAACTAACCTCGATATCTTTATATTACTAGGTTGGATTAGTAAGAATAACATAGCAGATAAAAACACCTTTTCATAATTCAGTCAGTAGTAATGCCATATACTGAAAGCCATCTTGATATACTACCACATTACTACAATTTTTATGTTCCTGAGTTCAAAACGTTCGAAGAAAACTCTTGTAGAACATTTTTATTTGAAATGTAAAAAATTATTATCTAGCTTTGAAATGATATCCATCGGAACACTTGCTTCAGTGCTCCTGGCATTTTTGGGCTAATGCTTCTCTTGGTACTTGTTACAGATCAGCCTCTCGCCGTTTCGAATAGTGTCATTTTTCTCGAAACATTGACACCTGTAGATACGAGATACCAGTAATATCAAAGGATGAGCAATCCAGTAAACAGGAAAGGAAAGCCAAAGGGAATGGACTCTGTCTCCTGGCTGGTCTTTTGACCTGACTTATACAAACTTGCGTCCAACCTCCGGTGGCGCCCAGTGTGGACCATGCGCCAGACGGCCGGACAGGCCCGCCCCCACAAACAGAATGACGGGTCGACCAGAAACTCACATTCCACAACCCCACTAGAAGGGAAAGAGGAACTTAGTCATAAGGACTTTTGTCAAAGAAGATGAAACGAGTCACCACTCCGATCAGGTTCAAGAAACTAAGTCAGGAAAAGAAATCTACGTCATTGTCAGGATACTTCTAAGTACTTCAAGGCGTCCACCCTAGTGGCGCCGCGAGGAAGGATATGGACAGACCAATTTTTAGGGTCCAAACGCCTATTGGTAACCTCAAGCGATCCGTCTGCTCGCTAGAGGCACACAGGCCCCGCCATCAGGGGCATGATCTTTAAAACTTATGGTCACCCTTACATTTCTCCACTATTTAACTCCACCACGGCAAAAGAAAAGTACACGACAGTATTAGTACGGTCCCTGCCAAGCCCTAGCATGCCTAGTATGAACTAGGGCGCTAGTTACTGTGAAGTCTGATTATCTTCTCCTTTAGGCTGAAGCTGTCTAGACACTAGTCTAGTCAGTGATCTGGAAGAACAACCGGGTCTCCTGCCGCAAGTGGTCGGTTCCAGAAGTTCCGCCCAGTCGAACCACAGAGCTGGTTGTTCAGCATCGTTAGCCTATGCCAGCCTAGGACAGAGGACAGGTGACGGAGGACGGGGACTCCTGGTGCTTAACAGAGGTAAACAGGCATATGTCCCGCATCCTCCACTATCCAGAGGCAACAACTCCCTGGAGCCGCACGAGGCCGCACCGGGAGTTTATATAAGATTTAAGAAAGGTTTACAAAGCCATACAGGGGCAATTGTTTGACATAAGTTGGTGGATTACATATGTGGTTGAGGAGACATACAAAGTACATTGCATAGTGAATAACACATAAAAATACAAAATAGAAAACAAATACATACACGAACGCAACCAAGTAAACACATAACACACGCTGAACACAGCACATATACACACACATAACACATAAAATAAAAACGTAAGCAGATAAAGACATATAATATAAAAGGAGGATTGAATGCTTAAGAATTACTCTAGGACGTGGTACATACCGCAATGATAAATACTTAAAGTTGTTTAGGTACATAATGCGGGACTTGCATAGTACATAGATGTTTAGTGCATTTCTTACTACAATACACATTACTTACTACAATGCTTATTACGTAAGATATTATATATTAGTACAACTATATATTTAGTACATTATGATGACACATTAGACTACACAGTATTTACTGCAAAACGCATTACTTAAGATAGAATATATTAGTACAATTATAAATTTAGTACAATATGGTGACACAATACGTAATACTATACTTGATACAGTATGCAATACTTGAGACATTATTATGCAGAACATAGTGCATGGTACGTTGTGAGGAAGTATGTACAGAATGACACAGTACTTAAAATATAATGCGCTATACTTAGTAATACTTACGTCATAATACTGAATGCTTAACTCGGTAGGTATATACAGGATGATATATACAGGATATAGAAAATATGTACGAGATGGCAAAGTATTTAAATACGATGCACAATTCTTACGTCATATTACTTAATGCTTATTACTTAATACTTACTGTTTACTGTTACCAGTAAACAGTAAACAGTAAGATTATTGTAGTTATGTAAGTTCAAGTTTCTGAGTTCTTTAGTTCATACGCTCTTTGTTCAAAATATGACATCATGCCGAAAGGTACTTTAATTCCGTTTCGTTTATAATGGATGATAGGTTACAGTAGACGGGGACACCTTGTGGCTAACTTAGTTAGCTAAGTACAGTACCAACGCATTCCTCCATTTAAAATCAAGACTCAAGGAGCTTGAATTGAGCTAGAAGAAATTATAGGAAATTCAGAACAGAAGTCTGAAAGATATATGCTCATCTATGAGCTTATATGTATCTAGGAGCATGTATATAGGAGGTGAGTATAACTTGTTTTTACAAATTAAGAGGGGGATAGTATCCATCCAAACGAGCAATAATTATCATGGAATATAGGTTCGCATTCCACTTTGGAGTTAGTACGAGTATATTCCGCACGATGGATCGGACGTGGGGGACCTGTGGCTTGGCTTCCTCGCTAACCGAACGCTAATCCACTGGACGTTTTCTTCTGGTAGCATATAAAATCTTTAACGTAAAAGACGCCTTTGGCCTCGGCTGATGATGTCGCAGCAAGAATTTTTCTTGCCGCAGACAAAATTAACACAACACCAGGAATCTTCGAGAGGGGCTCCAATCATTCATTCGTTGGTGAGAACTGTGGAACAGTACGCGTGGCTGCTCCTAGTTTTTCTCTGATCAATAAGTCGCATTGAGCAACTTTTTATATCCTTGATTCGCTCTCCCAACACAGCTTAAGTTCATGCTGCAATTCTAATTTTAATCTTCTCTGCCTCTCAGAGTGGAATGCGAACCTATATTCCATGGTAATAATTGTTCATCCGGATGGGTACTATCACCTCTCTTATTTTGTAAAAACAATTTAGACTCTTCCTGTATGTATAGGAGATAATAGGAACTTAACACAGAAGTTTGAATTATATGCATAAATGCACGTAATTAAGTGGTTACAACTAACTCTTGCCTCATCGATGTTAGGACTTTGATAATGTTTGTTGCTTGGCCTATATCAGGAAAAATGCTGCTCTAGATGATGTTATAGGGAACTTCCACCTTGTTAACTAAGTTCTTTCTTGGTGTCACTGAAAGCACGACCAGCAGGTAACTGGGAGCTCTGGAGTTCTAATCCCGGTGATGCAAATTTTTCATGTTTCGTGGCTTCAAACAAATTCTTAGTATCTCTACAATGTTACTTATATATTTCTTCTGTAGAGAGTACGCTAAGGCTTTCTAAAACTAAATTCAGTTATTGCAAATTTTACGCGCGTGAATATGAATTTTCCGCTGACATTTTCAACATAGGTGTATTATATATACTAATGTAAGATTGTATTTATTAATTTTATTTTTTTCTAAGAAGCGCATTTCTGCATTAATTACTTATTAGCGCATTAATTACTTATTGCCTTATCTTATGATATTTATTATCGTTTCCTTAGTTAAATTTTTATTTAACGTTTTACAAAAGCACCTGTCTTTTTTCCAATAGTAAGGGATATTATGTAAAATATTTAGTATGATTGATAATCTTATGCATTGACCTTGTCCCATAATCATACAAGGGAATTTTAGCATTTTCATACACTTTTCAATATTTCCATTCTTGCTTTTAAATTATATGGGCATGAAAACTTTACCGTATGTACTGATCAGTTACGTTTTTCAGCCAGGTTTAACAATCTCTCACAACGCTGAAAGGTCCCTTAGCAGTTTTTGCCAATGGCAGTCTACCATTCATACCAGTAAAGGTAGGCAGCACGATCATGCTGTCCTCGTCACTGGACTCGACATCTGTTCTTGGAAAGATGAGCCGTGCGATACTTTAGGTAAACTTTTCTTCGACCTTGCTTTCAAAAAATTTAAATTCCTGTGTTATCATGCTAATTTTACTTTTATTTCTGTAGGATATGCTCCAATTAGCGGTATGTGCAGTAAATACAGAAGCTGCACGGTCAATGAAGATTCTGGATTAGCTCTAGCGTTTACTGTTGCTCACGAAATTGGACATAAGTAAGTTTTACTTTTTCTTTTTAACTTACATCCAATATTTAGATTGTAAGCCACAGAATATTGATACTGTATAGTATTTCCTCCAGTACTGCGATTTGTTTTTCAAAATTTCCAAATACATTTTAAATTATTGTTAATATGGAAGTCATATAGCAAATTAAATTGCGAAAAAGAAGATTGAATGATTATTTTTAAGTCAATTATAGCAGCATTATCACAAATCTTTGAGGTAACTTCCATAAACAACAGAGAATTCAAAGTATTCCTCTCGTGTTTCTTTGTGATATAGTGACCGCTCTTTTAGCTAGCAGTGAAAGGTCTCATCTTTAGAATCCAGGGAAAAGATATGGTAATACATTCTTCTTACGCTACTTCGGTGTGCACCCAAGCAATGACTTATTGCGATAAATTTTACAGAAAAATTTATATACTTATATTAATGCATTGTATAATTGATACATCTATATGTATACAATAAAAATTAAAAATACAGGTCTACAGGGGTGCGAAATTAGTAGAAACAGATGCCACCGCTGGCAGCTAAAACGGTCTTACGTGGTTAGGCATGGAATGGAACTGGGCTTGGATGACAGAAATGGGCAACTCATTCCATGCTGCTTCACGTCTATGCCATACTTCATCAACCATGTTAGTTGGAGAAAGGTAGCGAACCATTTTTTCAGCAACCTATGACCACATGATTTCAATGGGTGGCAGATCTGGAGTCCGTGAGGCCAGGGCAGCAGTCGAATACCTTGTGTATGAGGAAGATCAGAACACGACGTGCAACGCATGGTCTTGCATTATCTTGTTAGAACATGTCGTTTTGGGGCCTCGAAGATAAAGCACAGCCACTGGACGTAAAATGTCAGAAATGTACCCATTTGCGTACAAATTACCGTCAATCCGAACTAGAATTGTGCGTGTCATGTACCCAATGGTCGCCCAAACCATCACACCGGGTGCAGGGCACCTATACCGATATCGAATGCAAGCAGGCGACGTGCGGTCTCCTCGGACACTCCAGACACGTATACGGCCATCAGAATACTGCTCGTAGAACCGGAACTCGTTTGAAAAGGCGACATTGTGCCACTCCTGTGCCCGGCTTTGTCGTATGGCGCCCCAAAATCGCCGTCTCTCTCTATACTGCATTGTCAAGGGAAGCTGAAGTAATGGTCACCCTGATGATGGTCCACGCTGCTTCAAACGTCGATGCACCTTACGAGCTGATACTGGGCGTGCTGCAAACATGTCCAACTCCTAACTAATGGCCCGCGATATGGTCGCGGTTTTGCAGGGCTGACCTCACGATATGTCTGTCCTCTCTGGCGTTAGTCATGGGAGAGCGTTGAGATCCTGAATGCCGTTCAGTATGACCCTCGCTAATCCATTGATTCCATATTCGCATGACAGAAGTTGGATGTCAACCAGTGCGACCGGCGATATCACGGAACGATAATATAAACTTTCGATAGGCAACACTGCGACCGGCGATATCACGGAACGATAATTTACACTTTCGATAGGCAACGATCCTGCCTCTATCAAATTTCCAATCTTGCTGGTTAGCATTTCCTCTTCTTATTCGACGCATAACACGATATTCTGAGCAAACTCCGACTTTACAAAGCACTTTTCGAACAAGAAATCTACTACACAACTTTTCTTTTATGCAGATCTTCAGATGTCGTTTCTTCCTCCTGCGTTGTTTAAATGCGCTGAAATAATCATTTGCATATCCTAACTTCTTCCTTTCATGTGATTTTTTGATGTTCGTCAGATCAATCCTTCCTGGTGTTGCAATTTTAATGGCAAACAGTGTATGTGAAACATGCAGTATTATCAAAGACATCAGGCAGTTTTTTGAGTCGTGTTTCTTAACGCAGAGCGCAAAGGATTTGTTCTCCTTTTAATAAAGATAAAATCTTACAAAAAGCTTCTTCGCGCAAAAAAATGCAAATAATTCATAATTGTAGAAGTATAGTAGGTATTGAAGTGGAGAAGAGAATTTTGTTTTGTTTATTTAGTCTATTACTAGTAATTTTCAGTTCGTATTATTTATTCTTTTCGGTGTATGGGCTCAGGTCTAATGGGTGAAGTAGTTACCCTTTAGATGCAGTCTATGTATTATTTTTTGTTACTTTATTTTTAAATTTTTTGTGACTCAGTTCTTGCACACTGATTTTTGTGAGTTTTTAAACTATTAAATTAATTAAATCTTGGTGTAATTTTTATCCTTATAAAATTTCTTGAGAGTATAGTTGATTTTCTGGATGACTTTGTTTATTGTTATTCGGCTGGCCCTAATATTACTTTATGGCTAAACAAATATTTGATTAAACGAGTTGGAATTTAGGCCCTTAAATCAGATCGCATCATTGTACTATCTAGGATTACAATGATGTATCCTAGATGTACAATCTAGGATTACTATCTAGGATTAGTTTATCAAGTTTCTTGCCCAAACATACATACGCACAGAGAAACAGAGAGAAAAGCACTGCATTGTTAGAGCTATGCCAAAAACCATAGAGCAATATTAGAAAACATTTCATGAAGCAGAATCCAGTGGTCTTGTACCGCCGGCGAGTGAAATTTTTATCTATGAATTTTAAATGCCCTGTTATAGAAAAAACAGTTTTAATCATAAGTGCTTGTACCTTATCCAGGTTTGGAAACAGAACCGATGGTGAATTAGTTTGCTTTTACGAATCACGCTAAGCTGCAATCCAGGTTAGAAAATGGAAGAGCAAGGCAAGAATCTATGCAAATATAATTATTATGCAGTTTGAACTCAATCCAGAAATAGAACTTTATCTCTGAACTCTTACTCTAAGTTACTAAAAATTATGAAATTATAATTTTAAATTTTAATTAGAAATTTAGATATGGCTTTATAGACTATATCTAAATTCTGTCTATTTCTTTTAGCAATCGTTTCCAATAACTGCGAGAGTCTGCCGTAGTATGTTTTCGACCTTTACCTGCTTCTCTTCATATATCACCAGTTATAACCGTTTCCAGATTCTTGACATGACGTTTTCAGCTACTTGAAATACGTGAAATGGTTTTGAATCTTGAAATTACTTTTGAATCTTTTGAACTTACAGACCTGTGTCTGTTCTGCTATTAGTCTTCCAATCGCACGCCATTTCTCAGGATCCATAAAATGCCTTATCAACCACATGTTCCATGCGAAACATGAATCCAGCTTTTCGTGCAATGTCTTAAATTTGAATCTGAAGCACCTTTTTGCGCTCTTTCCATACTTGCCGAAAAAAATGGTTGCCAAAATTTGCATTATTTTATGTTGAGAAGATGAATCCCATTCGAATACTATGACCATGATCTGTCAGCCAACTTCCTTTGGATGGACTTTAATCAATAGAATTAACGTAAAACAAATTTTACATTTTTTTCTTTAATTTTCCCACCAGTGTATTGTAATTATCAGTTTATGAAATCTCACGAAATAATTTTTTATGCGTATTTATCTCTTTATTATATTTCAGCTTCGGGATGGTGCACGATGGCCAAGGGTCCTCTCCATGCCGTAAGAAACGAGGAACCATTATGTCAGCCTCCTTGTCCGGACTGGATACCAGCTTCCTGTGGTCCGAGTGCAGTCGACGAGATCTGGCCAAGTTCCTGGAGTAGGGGCCAACAACAATGTGTCCGGCAACCAATCCCATTTTGAGTGTGAGCTGCGTTCGCGAAAAACCCCGACAAGAATCATCTTACACAAATACTTCTCATAATTTTAACGCGTTTTAAAATTCCTTTAAACTTTTTCCTAATTTTATAAATTTATATGCTATCTCCTTTCATACCGAGGCCTCTTTTTTCCGGGTAGCTAAGAAATTACTAATCCTTTACTCTTAACGAAACAAAAATATAAAATCCTTCTTTATCAGTGCGAAATATAAGCCTACAAAGAATGAAAAAAAGCTCATTCATCCTTTTGCATATAACACTAACACTCTTTTAACTTCCAGAAAATATTAAAAGAATCAATATAAAATTTCGACTAAAATTATTTGTTAGAAAAAGTTTGGTATGAGAAATTTACAAATCCTTTACTTAAAAAGTAAATGAAACAAATTTAAGAATTCATCTCAGATATTATACAACTGTAGATCAATGGATAAGGCATCAAATGCTGTTAGTTTATTCGGATGTCTGTTTCTGCATGTGAAATAAACTCTTTTCACACGGGTTTAGTGATTTTCCCCATGTGTAATATGAGATACGAGTACTCCTCTAAGACATTCCTCTAAATGCATATAGCTGTTGAGAACTTTGCTGTAATAAATTACCTAATGTGATTTTATTTTCTCAAATGAAATTTGGTTATTCACTATAAATTTTGTTTCATTGTGCAGGAAATTAGCAATACATTATGAAACAGTTGCACAAATATTATCGAATATAGTATTTTTTTAACTTTTAAGTAATTATGAAGTACTTAATTACATTTATTGTAATAAATCGTGACAAATCTGTAGAGAAGATTATTTCTTTAGAACTGAATGATTCTATTTGTTAAAAATCAAGTTGGAGCATCTGAAGAATATGGAAGTATTTTATGAAACGTCTGTATTCTTAAAAATGCATAAGATCATAAAAATTTGATTGATCAAATTTCAAACATTATAATGAAACATATAATTCAAATTTATCAATCAAGTTAAGTTCAATCAAGTTAAGTTGGAACATCTGAAAAATATGGGAGTATTTTATGAAACGTCTGTATTCTTAAAAATGCATAAGATCAAAAAAATTTGATTGATCAAATTTCAAACATCATAAGGAAACATATAATTCAAATTTTAGGCTTCAAATGGAAAATTTCAGTAAGCACGGAATATTCTAAGAAATTGGTCTTGAGTTTAAAAACGAATGAACTTAAGGTAAAGGAGACTTCAATATATAGAAGTGTGTGTTCTCTGTGGGTAAAATCATAATGGTACACTAAAGTATTACTTTTGGTTTATTAATAGACTATATATATTATACATATGTACATCCAGCTGTATGCTGGAGAGTCATAATTCAAACACAACATGCCGTCATTACATTCATTTGCGCTATTCTCCCTTTAACTCTCTAACTCTTTCAATTTGCATCCTCTAAGACGGCTGTCTTACAGTGCCATCTGTTGTCGTATGTATGTGTGCAGTAGTGTGGGGACGAAGTGAAGGATTAACATAAAAAATGAAATGAACAAGCATAACCGATCAAAAGATTAATTAGAAGATTGCATATGCTTCGGTGCAATAGGACATCCGCGTATATCTAGCATTGTTCTAAAACAAACTGCGAAGTGTTTTAAAGGCATAAAAGACGGAGGCGGTGTACAATCAAACATTTCAATGATAACTTATTTAACTGTATTCATCGGTTTGAATGACGTCACAACCTAATATCCAAAAGACAGTTCTGTAAAAGTCTGGGCAACTTTACCTGAGGTCGAATCATTGGGAAAGTGGAAAAAAATCGAAGAGTGAATAGTAGGACCAAATAATTCAGAATAGTAATGTCACACGATATCAGGAGCTTAGACGGCATTTAGAACGTCAGGAATGAGCAATCCTGGCATAGAGGACCAGTATCTTGTCCATAAGATGATGACCAAAAGAGATCGATGGCGAATAGTTACTGAAATCGCAATACATATAAAATGCACTACTAAACGCCTGATATCACGTTTCATTGGGCATAGCAGATTGTACAAAGGTAATATGTTCTCTCGGTAACCAGTGCGGCTTATACCTGTTGAAGACGCCCCTTTCAGTGATGTCAATTACACAATGAGGAGTTTAGCAGTGGCATTGAAAGTTCTTCGCACGTGAAAGTACTTTTAGTCTCATTAGCTACAAACGGAGTAAACTAACAGCAACTAAACAAGTGATAAAAGCGGGTAATACCTAGCCTTCCTTCTAAGATCGTCGAAAGGCACCGATTTAAGGTGGTAGAATTCTCATTCAGTTCTTGGTGGCCCTGCAGAGCTTCACTTCTCCCAGGAAGGTTCCATTCACTGATGACTGCTTTTGTGCCAACGTTTGCCTTCCTTATGTGCTTTTATTCTTGTTTTCATGGACTAGAACTCATCGCATTGACGATGATGCTATACGTGATCATACAGCTGTTGTCGCTAATAGTTCGGAGAGTAATGATATTCATCGCATAGACCCGCGCATTTTCCCCATCCAATCGAATATGTGAAGAAACTTCTTGAAAAACGCCTGGCGTCACGTAACTAATCACCACAGTGAGTCCCCATTTGCGATCGATGCTGCAAAAAGAATGGGACATGTTGCCTGAGCTGCGCATCGATGACATCACACCGAATGTGGACTGATGGTGCACATCTAGTACGCGAGCCAAGAATGATTACATCCTTTACTAAGGACTAATTTTTTTGGAGGGGTACTGTTTGTCACATAAATGCTTAGATCTGTTGACTCTCTGAGCGAGGGATCCACTTTTGAATAAAGATCTGTAGCTCCTTAGGATTACTTTTTTTAGTTAATTTTTTCAACCTTTTTCAGTCTTACATCTCCACGATATTACGAAATGCTTTGTACCAATTTGAAACGTGACTGAATGATTTTGCATGTGGAAACATGTCGTCTCCTTAATTTTTACTTGCCGCATTAATAACATAATAAAGACTTTTCTAAAACATCAATATTAATCTGCGATAATAATTTGTTTCAAAATGTTAAGGGCTTTTGCTTTTAAAATTCTTTGTTACTGATATTCATTTGCAATATCATATTTATGTATAGTATCAGGTCGTTTCAGTTGATGCTCATATTCGTTAAATAATATAATACTACTTTTATTTTATTCTTATGAATTTTAAAGTACTTATCTTTTCAACTTTAGGCACCTTAAGAATCTCAGGAATGAAATATTTAATTCAAAATAGAGTTTGACGGCAGTAGTTTAGACTGCCAAAACTCTTAGTATCATTTAAATTTTTGAAAAATTTGGTTTTTTATTATAGCATTTCCTGTCGCTTCATTAAAAGCATTGTTATTGTTCTTAATCTTCTTTAACCCATATCTTAACAAATAACACAGATTTTAATTGCTTGATCGCTTTGATTTTTTATTTAACAGCTGCACTCGAATTCCCCTATCATTGTTACCTAATTAGAAGTTGTAGAATTAAATTAAAAATTGGTGTTTCTTTGCATAATAAATTATTATTGATATTAAATTAAAACTTACATCATCTATTTTTAATATAAAAAATTACAGTAATTTCTTTCAATTATTATAAAGATAATTTATATGAAGATTGACAATCGTTTAAATATCGTTTTTGGATTGTCTAAAAGCAGCCTTATTACACACTTTTCTGTTATGGATATTTATTCCGTCCAAAATGTTAAATTAGGAATTTTTCACGTTTAATATATTTCTTTTACCGCTGTAGAATCGTCACACGTGAAGTTTCAGCTTATCATAATATTTGACAAAACATTTTAAATCAAGAAGTGAGAAAGCGAAAGTCAAACTTTTCTATTAAGCTGTAGAGAATTTTTCTAAAACATTTGTGAAAACCCAATTATTTATTAATTTAATTAGCCCAATTATTATTACTTAAAAAAGCATATTTTTTTAGTCTTGCTAAATATTCAATTTATGTGAAATGAAAACTTATCATTTCATTATTAATTCTATTATTTTATTAATAATTCTATTTTATATAACTTATTTATCTGCACTAATTAACAAAATATACTATATGGGCTTTACATGTCAGTATTCGTTGAATTAAATGTATTTCAATTTAGTTATGCATGACCAAGCATTAATGAACAATACGCTTTCTGGCATTTCCATTGGCAAAAATATATTTTATTTTCATTTATTAGGTCCCCTAGAGCACTATGCCTTAAAAATGAGCCAAACTCTCCTGATGAACTGCAATTTCCCAACCATTTGCCTGGTCAACTTTATGATGCAGATATGCAATGTAGATTGCAATTTGGTACGAAATCTAGCCTTTGCGAGCACTATCCTAGAAAAGTAGGTTCTTTTCGAATAAATTATGAGTCTCAAAATAATTTATCCAGTCAATAATATCTGCTCCTTTACTTTACTCCTAGAGTGAAGTTTGTCGCGCCTTGTGGTGTCAAAGGAACGGGAGAGAATGTGAAACAAAATTTTTACCTGCTGCTGAAGGGACACCGTGTGGTAAAAATAAAGTATGCTTAATTTCATATACCTTTTTAAAAATATAAATTTCTTTGACGTTTCTAGCAAAATTTACAAAAGAGTAACTGTTGAGTCAAGTTTAAAAAGTTAATAGGAAAGCTATGTGATAATTACTGGAAATGATGCTAACTGGCCTAAAATTAATAGTCATTAATAAAGTACTGAAATATTAACAAATAGCCTTTTGGAACAAATTGCTATTGTCAAGAAACAGACATCAACAAATGTCTTTTGGAAAAAGGAAGTATAAAATAATCACAGCGGAGAAGAACAATTTCCCCGAAAGCAGAAAAAAATATTTCTCCCTTTTGTTGTCATTTCCAATCTCCAAAAGCTTTATCAAAGAAATTCGAAATAGGAGTTATATACGTTCATAAAAACTGTAAATATTTGTATGGAAATTGCCTAGATTTATCCTTAGAGTAGGATTTGAAACATTTGCTCTCCCAAAAAAACCTTGGACTCTCCGAAAACAATCACGACGAAAGTGATCACATAGGTGAGCAAAACAATATGGTGCAAACCTTGGCATTTCTCAATCTTCCACGATCTTAAAAACAGGCTGCATAAATTACTCCCTGCGTCCTTAATATTTGCTGCCTGTATTTATGAGGTTAAAAGCATAATGTCGTCAAAGAAATCCGTTATATGCTCTTTGGAATTTGATGTGCACGTGCTGTTGACTTCTCACCCGTCTCTGTTTCATTATGCCGTTATATATTCTGCTGTCTCATGAACCATGAGACTTTTCCACATTTTGTTGGGCATTATCTTATGTTTTTCAGTAATTTTGATAAGGATTTCTTTTAATAGGGTGCACGATAACGCTTTGTGACAAGATACACAACAGTGTTTTGTTACAAGATATCCAAGAGGATTCTGTACAAAGAGTTTGTTAATGTACATTGGTATTATATTGTCTGTGGGTATACCGATATTTATACAACGAAGGATTACAAATCATTTGATGAATAGCATAATGTATTTATTACTCTATAAAACTTCGTTCACACGGTGGTTTTAAAATCATAAGTGTTCTAAACTGAGATTCGTTGCCGGCAACCAAACCTTGCTACATCAAAAAAGCTGGTTTAAGGATTTTGTCTAAATGTTCTAACTTTTCAACGTTATGCCACCTAGCATAAGAACCGACCAGTCACTGGAAAGCAAATATCAGTGGACGGTTTCGCTGAGTCAGTTGCACATTTATGCATTCTCAACTTCCTTGATTGTGGTTTAAATCCTACTAAACAGGTGTGAATGGACTTTATGTCTTTATGTCTGCCATACGAAATGCATGCCACATGACAAGAATGCAGTTACCTATATCGCACAAAGCTGTTGTAACTTTCATATACGTTACGTTTACTAATCTATAACTGTAAATACTGTGGACACATCCACCATTTTATATACCCTATTCTTGGAGTTGAGCACAACTGGGAAATGCCATCCTTCGCAAATGTTGTTTTAACCACCTGTTTTTAACATTAGTGACAGTTGTCCTCGGGAAATTCGATAGCTTTCTTTATTATTTTAATCACATGTTTTAACACCCTTAAAAAATTAGTGACAGTTCTCACCAGGAAATTTGAGATTTCCTGGTGAGATCTTATCTGATCAGCGTTGATGGGTATCCCAGTCGTGAACTATCGAAGTGGTAACTAGTAGCTTCCGATTATGTTTGTTTGAGGTAATAATTTTATTCCAGACAACACGGAAAGAGCATTATTGACGAACGAATATCATCTCACTACATGGATAACTTACAAATATACGCTCTTATGTAACAATGAAAGATTAATCAAAGAAACTTCGATGTTGAATAACTTGCATACTCATTCTCATTAGAATCGTTATGTAAGTAAACCATAGATTAGTAGATGCTCCCTGCGAAATTTTAAGATATTTTAACTATTACTGAGAACAAATCCTACTATTTCAAGAAACCTTTCTTTAAAAAAAAATATTCTTAAGCACTTTTCGTTTACAAAATTTTAATCAAAATCTACAGGACCGTGAGGAGAAATAAAAATACAAAAGTAGCCGTAATGTCTCAATGCTGGTAACTGGCAAGTTAAGTAGTTGAAACAAACTTTTCTATTATTATTCTCTTGTATTCTAAACATGAAAAATACTAAAATTGTTATCTTGAGTACACAAAGGCTAACTAAGGTATTGTAAACTTTTAAGGTGAAAAGGTGAAAACGTAACCTGTATTTCAGGAAAAAATCTTAAAATATAACATAGAGTCTAATGTGATACTGCTAGTAAGAATGTTTATGATTTTTAAACAGCAAAATTTTTAAAACAGCAAATTAGTCTTTGCTTTAGTTCCCAAAGAATAAATAGTAAAAATTATTTCATTGTAAGAATAAATATTTGAATAAAAATTAAAAATTTCCAGTTCATACCTTTTACGAAAACGTTTGCATTTCATATGCAATATTTTGATATTATTTAAAATGGGTCTTTCAAACAGCACTTTATAAATACTTTTTTTCTCTTTAGTGGTGTCGAAGGGGTTTATGTGTGGATAAAGAGCTAGACGCTGTGAAGGCCATCGATGGAGGCTGGAGTCCTTTTTCTCCTTGGTCGAAATGCTCTCGGCATTGCGGCGGCGGTCTTATGATTCGAGAAAGATTCTGTGACTCACCTCCGTAAGCGTTTTTTTTTTCCCTAATCTGAAAGTATGTTTGTTCTAAATAATAATAATAATAAAAAAAAAAAAAAAAAAAAAAAAAAATCAGGAAAAAGTAACTGATTTTTCTTAAATGGAAAAACTTCTGAAATTTATATCATATTTTAGTGAACAAGATATATTCTATAAAGGATGAGAAGCAGAATTTCCTCTTATGGTCTTCTACATTGTTGTACATTGTACGATTATTGTATACCACTATAAAACAGATACCGCATATATTTACATAGCATTTGAGAAAATGAAACGATGGCCAACATCCACAGTAAAAGGTAAATCTACCTTTCGGCTAGACGACCCCGATTAAATGCTCACTAATTTGCAAAATTCTTCCTCAAACCTCTCTTGACCTGTTTACTTTACTGTCAATAGTTCTTTCATAAATCTAGGAATAGAGAACAAAGTTCGAATGGGATGCAAATTATATATATTTGCTATTAGTAGCGATAAATTATAAACATTAAATTTTTCAAAATCAGTCACATGTTCTGTAGAAATATGAATTCGACACTGGAAAATTCCTTTGCTTTCCTCATTCGTGAAAATCATGACATCATGAAAACGATTAGGAAAAAGGATATTTCTTCTAAGTTATTCATAGATGTTTCTGCATGAATTAGGAGTCCGCATTTGCTTAATACCTCCGACTGCTAGAGGTCCGAATTTCGTGTCCATAAGTTAAAGAATGAATAAGACCACTGAACACTGGTTATTCGATCTGAGTTCAAAATCCGACAAATCAGCTTGCTGCATGGGAGCTTTTCGGTTCCTGTACATCATAAATATAAGCTTGATTCCCCGTAGCGAGTCTTGTGCAAAGGATTCTTCCTCTTAGGCAGATAATACTCGTGTGCTTTGTCGTGATCAGAACAATCCAGTTTAATTCAAACTGAGTTGTGCGTGAGAATGTGCGTGAATGACTCATATTATTACCGATTGCCATCCTGTCTGAATAGTTCTTTATTGATGCGAGGCACAGACTTGAATTTTTTTAACCTAAGTCCAGTGTAGAATCTTCTGATAACATGGTGTCAGTAATCGGACTGCGGTGGATCCGCGGCTTTAATTACTTTTTTGTTTTGTTTTATACATTTTCTGATAGATATTTCATAGCGTCTATAATAACTCATCAATTTAAAGAGGTCATAGACCTCCTTCCCGCATTCATCCTTCTTTTCTTTCAACCAGCCTATGTGGATGATAAAGTCTTATTCTGGAAATATCGTGTTCCTGGTGCATTTTTAATAATCAAAAACTACCTTATCCGTTATTAATGGTGACTTCCAAAAAGGTTTTTTTTTTTTTTTTTTTTTTTTTTTTTTACTTGGAACACCTGATCCCGACTGTACTTTTCTTCGAGAATCATTCTAACCTCTTCTCGAAATTTCTCGATATTAAACGATATGAGTACCGTCTGTACGAATTCTGATATGGCTCTGTTCTTATCAAGAGGAAAAGAATAACTATACATTGCAGTATTTCTGGCCATTCAGTATACACCAACCATTTACTGCAGTTGTCATTTGATTTTTAATTTCAAGTAAATGGCCGTTCTAAAATTTGCTTCATTATATCTAAGATAATGAATATATTATTTTTATTTTTACACGATTGATGCGATATTTTATTTTTACATATGGCATATTGTGCTGTTTAATAATGAGTTACACTCGTACTAAACCTTTAAAAAATAGCTTCCTGCTCGTTTTTAAAGTTTGATATTTTTGTAAGCTGTGATGTACAGATTTGCCCTTTATTTTCTCATTTAATTCGCATTTACACAAAACACTGGTTTCGTTTTATCAAAAATCATTCAAATCATGCGTTTTCAAATATCTGTTAATTTTGATGGCTAGTCTACTTTAGAAATCTCTACAGAGAATTTTATGCTAATTATCCAGTCATTTATAATTTCAGCGTTTACTATAACGTTTCCTCACCAGAATGCAAATGAGTACCCAGTATTTAAACTGAGGTTTATGGATTTTAACACAGAGCGGGATTTTTGCATCGCGTGTGCGCTACTTGTTTGTTTCCTGCCAGCTCTGATAGCTTCATTTAATCGGCTTTGCGTTTTCTCGCTGCCGACATTATAATTCTGAAGCTACGGTAAAGTTAGTGAGTCAGCTTCTAGCAGTATTTAATTGTGTAGTCCTTGACTACTGTTCAGCATTTGATTTAAATTGGACCGTTAGATCGTTAGACTCTTGTACTAAGAGAGTGCCTGTATATTGTAAATTCTATTTAAATAAAAAGATTATTTTTAACCTTCTCATGACTTTGCCGTTGTTTCAGAAATAGCGATAATTTGTTTACCTCTGTTAGGGTAATTGGACTAAATAGTATTACCAGATCAAGTGTAATCCTATATCTCTTAGCATAGAATTTCATAAATGCTGAATTCAGATTTAATTTCTTTGTTATGGTGTAACCATAGCGTCTAATAACTCACCAATCGTGTTATATCGTAATCGGATATTATTTAATTAAGAATTTTTGTAACATGTATATGTGATTTGAATGATAGAAACTAGTTAAAGCGATTCCATTAATAACTAAGAAAGTAAATTTTGTTTAAAAAAATCCTTAAAAACCCAAGTTTGTTATGATTTTGTTATTTTCATTATTTTTCTAGTTCCAAAATATAGTTTCTCAAGTAAAACACAAAGATTTTCATATTTATTTTAGACCAAGTAATGGAGGGAATTATTGTAAAGGTGAAGAAAAAGAGTATCAAATCTGTGGAACTAAGGTGAGTTTCAGAAACATTTTATTATAAAATGAGCTAGCATTATTCGTGCTATATACTTATTTAAAATATGAGTTATTATTTCCTGTAGTTTTTTTTCGGGGGGGGTTCATGGATGAACTGCATTCCTTTCAGAAAAAAAAAACTGAAGCTATTATTGAACCCATTAAAAAATGTCTGGTTATAAAAAAAAAAGCAATTAAACATGTAAATATCGGAAATGAAAATGTAAATAATGTTTAAAAACAAAATTTTCTATTTAAAATTATATATTCTAACAATATAATGATTGTTTCTAACTATACATAAACTTTAAATTTATGAAATCAATGTAAAATTTTGAGTTATTATATTCTTGGTTTTTAGTTCTGTTCTTAAAATTTTAATAACTCAACAACAAAGGAAAAATTTTTAAATAAAAGTGCATTTCAAAAGAAGGCACTAGTAACTTTTGCAAATAAAATTCAATAGACTTTAAAATTCCGCTATCAGTTTTGGTTGATTTTCATTGCAAACAGGGGAAAAACGTTACTGTAAAAGCAAAATAAAGGTACTTCAGAATTTGCTTCCTCTAAGTACGCTCTTTTAACTTCCTAAGATTGATTTAAAAAAAAAGAAGGCATTTTTATTTTTAAATACATAAAACCAGAAGCAGATGAAAGCAGGTTACGTAAAAACAGGTCAAAATTTTTTATTTGGTGAAGTTTCTAACAAGTATATTAAATACACTTTTATGCGTCTTTAATATATTGTTTTAAAAATTCAAACATTTATTTTAACAGTTAAATAAGCGTTTTATCTAGAGCCTTAATTCTCATTCTTTTAGAAGTCAGAGAATACGTATACACAGGCATGTACATATAATGAGCATAGACATCTGTTCTATAATAAGATAAAGCGGCTTTGTGCAGGGAATGATCTCCTTCATTCACTTCAGTTTAGAGAAGTTTGAATCCTATGAATAAAAGTGGATTACGTGTAAACATACTTCACGATTCGCGATGCTTGAAGAAACCTTTTAAAAAATAGATAGAATTAACTACAAAAGAAATTATAAACGGATATCTTTTCAATTACGGGAGTACCCTAGATATATAGTCAGAATAATTAGAAATTATCACCGTGCCCCATTTATGCTCTCGTAGGGTAAGTTGTAGCACATCCAGTTAGCACTAGAAAGTATGTGATTCGAATCCCGGAGAAGGCACAATAGATCTCTTACATTTCCTGTTCAAAAAGGAAAAACTTGATATCTTTACAGAAGGGTACGATGTAAAAAAGGATAAGAGATACAATGTTAAAAAAAAAAAAAAAAAAAAAAAAAAGATTCGTAAAACCTATGGGATAAACGAAACATATTTTAACTAATTCAGCTTTTTGAAACAGTGCTTGAATGAAGTGAAACTCTTAAAAATTTTCGTCAACCATTGAAATACAATTATTGGGGTTTCCGAAATGAAATAATTTCCTAATGGTGTGATGTTTTCATTTCATAAGTCCATGAGTTTAATTAAACGATTCAAATTCATTCATTAAAACTGTTTTAAACATAACTATAATAAAAAATACTATTGTTGAGTAATTAATGTAAATGAAAATGCAATTTATGCAGTAACAATTAATAAATGATATAAAATTTCAGATTCTAAAGCTTGCTCAGCTTCTATAGAAATATTCATATTATACTTTTTTTCTAGAGTTGCGATGTTGATAGTCCCGAGTACCAGACTGATCAATGTGCTACTTTTAATAAACGCACAGTGAAAGGAAAATTTTATCACTGGAGACCGTATGGTAAAGACCTGGGAGGTAAGCATAATGATAAAAAAATAGTATTAAAATAGAATTTTAGTATATAATTATAATTCAGTCTTCTTTAAAATGCAAGATCTTTAAAACATACCTAAATTAAAAATCACATACTTGGTAAAACTACAGAACAATATTTAAATTAAAAGTCTAGTCAAATTTGTCAAATAATACTTAAATTAAAAATCGACTTTTAGTGTGATTATTGAATTTATGCTCTAGAACATGGTGAAGATAATTTTTTAGTCTGCATTTAAACTACTTCTTCGTCCTAAACAGAGCCTCAGAAATCTAAAATATGAAGGTATCTCTTAGATAAGTTAAATAAAATCAAAGTGAGTATAGAAGAGGATTATTTTTTTAATCGGTTTGATTTCTCACTCTCATTTAGAAAAGAAGGTTAGAAGTGTCTAGAACCAAAAATAATAGTTGTGGGTTTTTTTTCGAATTTTGATCTAAATTAATAGCTGGATCTTCTTCTGCACCACCCAAAACCTGGGCCCTTGCTGAATGGCATTCATAGAAAGATGGCCGAATTCTTCAGCCATTTCATAGTCGTATCACCAAGGATATTATTCCAAGAATAAAAGTGCATCTCTGAAGTGGACTAATATTGCTCAAACAAAAGTAGAAAGAAAGAACTCTACCAATGAAGCCTTATTCTTGTTCTCTCCATATCGATGTGGCAGGCGCAGAAATAGAGCCAATGATATGCTAGTTACTTCTGATTATAACTGTGAGTTTGTGTACTGCAGAGTTATGTTATGTACAAGAATAAATTCATCGAATATTGACAGATGTCAAGCGATGGAATAAATTAACATAGATTTTTTTAAATACTTTTTTTTCATTATAACTTTGTAAAGGAGCACCAATGCCAAGAACTCTAAAAATATTTTTTCTAAAAATATATGTACACTTTTTATATAAATCTGTTTTAGCGAATGTTGTTATTGTAAGCATTATAATTTATTCAGTAGGTATCTTGGAATTCAAAACTTTCTGAAATTTGTTTCAAATTGTTTATCTTGCAGTTTTAAATTATGATATGTAACTAGCGACTGAAAGAATAGTTTACATTTATGGGAAAATATTTTCTAATAAATGCTTTCCATGTCGTTTTCCTTAACTTCTAATAGCAAATCTTCTTTTCCTTTCCTTAGATGATGCTTTTGAATGCAGTCCATTGCAAAAAACAAAAGCTCGCTTGAATGCACAAGTTTATTAGAATCCGTTTGTTTCACTGTTGGTTAAAAGGACCGCATTGTTGTTAAATAAAACGAACTATTCAAAAAATCCTATAGCAATGAAGGTAACTCATTTCGGTAACACTGAAGGCCTGCACAAAACATATACTGCAATCTACACACATTTCTTTTTTTTACTTGTCTCTATAATGGTGTCAGACATATAATAATTTTAATTTTGGTTTTAATAATGGTGTCAGACAGAGTACCCGGGCTGCTAAGCCCTAACTCTCGTCGAAAAAACTTTAAAATTTAGAAACACAAATTGCTGCAAAATAACTTAATTGTAAGAGTAGTTTGTGCTGAAATATCGTCAGTCAAGATCAGTCAAGATCGAAGCCGCGTTTGTAATTCACATAAGCAGAAACAGGAAAACAAACTGCACTGAAAGTAAGTGCTAACCAGATGGTGTCACAAATTTTATGAGCATACATAATATCTTTAAAAATGAGGAACATGATTTACATAACAAAAAATATGCATTTTATTCGTATTTTATTGGTGGCAAATAGGTAAACTTTAGGGAATATTAGATTATTATTTCACAGAAAGATAAAACCTGAATGTTGTAAAGTATTGTTAAAAATTGAAAGTAATGATAAAAATTTAACGCTGTATTTCAGCTTTATCAAGATGTCGTATTTATTGCGTTCCTGATAAAGAAGATCTGTACCTTGTATTGTCGACTAAACTTCAAGATGGCAGTTCTTGTAACGGAAACTTTTCAAGTGTCTGCATTGACGGTGAATGTCGGGTAAGTGAATACCTACAAATTTCTGCTATTAAAAAAAAAAAAAATAAGATTGGCCACTATTTTGAAAGCACAGATAAATATCTAAGAAAACATCGCTCAAAAAACGTCGTAAACGAAAATGTCGCGGAAAAACCAACATGACATGAAAAAAATATCGTGGTTGAAAGAAAACAGAGAAGAACACATCGAGTTTTGAGATATCGCTGTATAAAATATCGTGGTAGAAAATAAAGCAGTGACAAAGCTTCTTAGCTTTAAACCATTATCGTGGTAAACATTGTGCTGAAAAGTAAAATTCCAAGAAAGTGCCTCATGGTGATAGCATTGCAGACATTCGTCTCAGATTTTAAAAGTTTCAAGTGTATTTTTTCATTAAAAAATACTAAATATGCTTGTAGAGACATTAAGTATTTTTTGAAGCATGAGACTTGAAAAATGAGCAATGCCCTCGTCGGGACTCGAACCACGGACCTCTGGAATACGCGCCCAGCGTGCTGACCACTACACTACGAAGGCATGCTAAGAAGACGGGAGAAATACCTTATATGCTTTTACAAAAGAGACAAATTAAATAATAGCTCTTACTAGATAACTACGTAGGTTTAAAATTCTATTAACTGCTGTATGTAGCAGTAATTTGTATCCATTTTTCGATTTTGAATGCTTTTCTTGATTTTCCAGTTAAAAAGTACCAATTAAATCTCTTTTCGCCAAAAAACTGAAATAATATAGGTGAAAATATTTCTTACTTCTTTTCGCGTAGAGAGATTACAGAGATCGCATACAGTACATATTGCAATAGTGAGCATGTACTTAATTTTTTTTTAAACCTGAAGACACTTTTATCTTAAACTTCATTCGATCTTTCAAAAGGCGATTAATTTTGTATCAGGATATTTCGCGCGGCAATTTTTAAAATTGCGAAATTTTGTCGCTGCTTTATTTTCTATTTCTGTGTTCTAAAACTGTGTGCTTCTTACCTTCTTTCCTAGCGTGATTTTTTTGGTACTATGACGTTTTTCAATCTTCATGGGAGGGGGAGAGATAGAGAGAGAGAAATCTCTTTTACATATAACAAGATTTTATAAAAATTTTCATTTTCTGACAATAAACGGAGTATATGTTTGGTTACAACTGGAATATCACTTCTTCACTAGAAATGTGACAAACATCGTCTTCTTCCTTTATTAATAAAATTTTTTAAGTGATCACATAAGCAAAATCAGGATGAGTCTCCTCTAGTGCTGATGTTTCACAGTTTTGCGAATGAATCAGTTATTAAACATTCGTGTTTTGGTTAACAAATACATACGCTATTAATCTTGTTTACGTTCTTAATGCAGGAGAAAAAAAGAGCATTAAGCAAATCAAATATAAAACGAGGTCAATTACATTTTTAATATAATGATATAAAGTATTTGAAATAAAAAAAGAGCACAAATGCAATAAGGTTAAAAATAGTATTTAACAGTGAAATAACTACTTCAAAAATTAAAATTAAATATTAATTTTATTAATAATTCATTATTGATTACATATATGTATTTTTGAATTGTTTTTATTCTGTCACCTTTGAGCCAGCATTTCTTCATGACAACTCATGGAGCCTAAAAATCCTCTTCTTCCCTTTGAACTATCATCCAAATTTGGATCATGCTCAAAAAGCTAATCCATTATTTTCATAAGAGTTGCAATGTTGTTCTTTAAGAAGTCTGTTGATAAAGCTTCCGGTTTTTTCCTCAGCAATATTTTCTAACGCATTTTCAATACATAAATTGGCATTATGATCTATTTATATTATCTGTGAAATTTTTCAGTTCTTCATTTGATGGACTTTTTTTATGAGATTCCAGTAAATTCTTAATATCCTCTTCATCAGCTTCGTTCATTTCTTTTTCATAAGCCAAAGCATTAATTTTAGTAATGATTTCATTTTTCTCCATAGTTTCGTTGTTTCCAAGCGTTCCAAGCATGCATTTCGTAAGGCATCTATGATGTTTCAGTTTTTTCAAAAATTACGTGTACTTCATTAGAATCAGTTATGCCAATTAAATTCTCAAGTAATATATTTTAAAGCTGGATATCACACCCTGATCCATATGTTGTATACACGATGTTGTATTTGCCGGCAGACAAACAACTTTCATTGGAATACAAGCATCGGAAGATTCTAAATTTTTGGGGTGGCCAGAAGTATTATCTGTCAAAAGAAGTTGCGTGAAAAGACTTGATTCATTAATGTTGTCGGAGCAATAACACTTTGCTGCTAAAAGAAATTCATTTAAAAACCAAAAATTTGTCTGTCACCCACGCTTTTGTGTTCTAATACTAATTCACAGGAAGTATTGATTTATCTATTCCTATCAATGGGTATGGTGCTTCAAATTGCTACACAAGTAAGCACTGGAGTTTAAAATCATCTTTTGCATTACCTCCTAAAAGCATGGCGAGTTTAGCCTCCTAAAAGCTTGCTTTAAATCCAGGAGTTCTTGAAATTTATATAAGGGATGGCATCTTCTTTCAAAAACACATTAAACTCAACTTATGGTGAAAAGTTTCAATCAGTAATAATTTTCTTTAAAATTTGTGGAAATTCTTCCGCAGCTTTGCCAGCTCTGCCTACCTTGCCAGTAATCCTCAAACTGTGAATGCTACTTAGGTGTTTGGAGGCCGCAAAGACGGTAAAGTGGTTAGTGACTTTTGACTGCCGAATGGCCCGGGTTCGAATCCCGGAGAAGACATGGATGTATTTGTCCATCCCCTCATAGTGGCCCACCTATTAGATGCCTCCATAATAAAGCGCCCGCTTTAAGCCTTAGTAGTGGCCAAGATCTATGGACAGCTTGGGTTCACTGTTGAGGATTTTTTTTAATCGATCAGACCATCCTCGACCAGCCACAAAAGGTTCAGTTGTGTTACCCGTTTCTTCTTATATGAAATTTTAAATTCCTTTTGCTTTTGTTTCAATTATGACTTAGGATGATCTTATGTTGCGTTTCATGATCAATCTAAATCGTTAACCATCTTCCCATCACTTCAAAAACTGAATTTCTGCATTTCATTACAAAATTGCTAGTATAGTTGAAGGTGCTAACTTTAATTAACTTACGTTGCCACCTTGTGACTGTCCCTTTTCGAATCGACGTATCGCTTCCAGTTTTACTTCCAACGAAATAGCTTTTCTCTTGTTAGAAGAATCAATCTCAGTTAACGTAACGAATAATTTTTTACAAATTTTCTTCGAAATTATAACGCAAAAATAATCCTCAAATCATCAAGATAATTTAATAAGTATAAAAAAATCTGTCTGTCAGCTAAACGCTAATGTAATTAATATGATGCAATACGATGAGGAAAGAACGAGAGATCCGTCTGATTGAACCAAACTGTATTGTAGCTAGCGTGGATCAATGTTCTGCCGCTCTCACGCAAAATTCCTCCGCTTATCACGGTCTAATAATGTGCAACTAAATTCTGTAGTTATGTTTTTTATTATTATTATTCTCATTGAAATGTAACAATCAATTGCTTTCTGATACAAAAAATATGAAATTTTGAATTTCTATAAATGGATTTGTAAAAAAATATTATAGTGAATCAGAGTAAAGGGGGAGAACGCAAACTAGGATATTAGTGTAATTCTCTGTAAGAGGCTGTCAAGAGGTTCAGTTTATATTGAAACTTCCACTTCCTTATTATGGTCACATTTGATAAATGATTACACGATTTTATGGCTTGTTTCAGACCTTTTTTCATTAAATCTGCGTTTAGAAATGGATCATTGTCTTCATTACTACTCGTTCTGTGGGATTAGGAGTCCTAAAGACAATCTCTAATATGTCACCTTCATTAGAGTTTTGTCAACTAATAATTCATCAATATCTTCAAAAGACAGATCATGAAATCTTTTTCCGCAAATTGTGTGTACCGTTGTAATGATGCTAGAAAATTTGCCTGTTTGCTTTTTACAAATTGCTTCAAACCCACTTTTCAGCATGCATTCAGAGTTGCTGGTTTTTAATTCATTTAACGCTAATTCGACTTGATTGATACAATTTATAATTGGTAATTCAGTTTAAGAAATATTTAGAAATTTTCTTGGCCTATTTGTGTTAAATCAGAATGACACGTGTAAAAGAGAATGAAATTGAAATATTTACGGGGGCTGTAAATTAAGTAATGGCAACATAGGTATAAATCAATTTTTAATGAACTTACAAGTACAATTGCATTACATTCCTTTTATGTAATCACCAGCAAAGCTTATAACCTTTTGCCAAAGTCGGGAAGCCGTTGTAGACCAGTGGCAAGGTGTTGATTGTTGATGTGAGCGACCGAGGCGCCCTACTGCGTGGAGTACAGATGAAACGTCATGAAATCGATGACCTCGGAGGAGTTCCTTCAACTTCCGAAACAGATCGAAGTCACAAGGACTCATGTCGGGTGAGTAGGGAGGGTGTTCCAGAATATCCCACTGCCACCGTCGCAAAAGGAGAGTGACATTGTTTGCGATATGGCAACGAGCGTTGTCATGCAATACGCTAGGGAGATTGTTGTGCAATAAACGTGGACTTTTGCGCCGCATAGCCGGACGCAGATAGGGCTGTAGAAATCGGCAATAGTAATCTGCGTTGACAGTTTGTCCTTCAGGTACGGCATGTATAAGAATCACACCGTCCCAGTCATATGCCACAATCAGCATAACCTTCACCCGACTGGATTCCTGTCGAAATTTCTGTGGACGTGGCGAACTTTGGTGACGTCATTCATTTGATTGATGCTTTAATTCAGGCTCATAGGCTCGTGCCCATGTCTCATCAATGACGACAATACGCTTCAGAAATGCGTCTCCTTCATTGCGGTATTTCTTCAAGTGGGTGCCAGCCAATGCATACCGGTGCCATTTCTGCACTTCGGTTAGTCGATGTAGAACCCAGCGGAAAGCAATTTTCCTCATGTTGAGAGATTTCTTCATTATCCGCCACACCATTTGATGACTGAGACCAACCTCTAAGAATAATTCTCGGACAGTCCATCGGCTGTTATGATAAGGACACCGCTCAGGGTGTCAATAATCTGCTCTTGAGGAATGGAGGGCCGACCTGTGCTTTGCAAATCCGCAGTCACATTCCGACCTGAACGAATGCTTGAACCCATCGTGCTACTGTCCTATACGGTAAAGCATTTGTGCCACAGGCTTCTACTAATCCTCGATAGCACTCTATTGCATTTTTGCCACGGGCAACCTCGATTTTAAGCCACGATCGCTGATCACCTTTTGAAAACATGCTTTAGAGCGATGGAAACGAAACTCCTCACTTTAACGCCACACAACAGCTACCCTTCTAAGTAACTTGACTGCTTTTTGCCCTCTACACATCGACAACAGCGCCACCTCACCGCTCCCATATCCTATTTGCGCATGCCCACCCTTCTGAGAGTTTCAAGGTTAAGTTGTCACTATTTAACTTACAACCCTCGTATTTTGAATATGTGTTAAATAAAATTCGTTTAAAAACAGAATTAAGTATACTTCAATTTTTTTTTCTCTGGACTAACTCAAGTTGAGCAGAAAAAGCAAAGGATAGGAAATGCTAAACTGGTTTGTTTAAATTAAGACATCATACACTTTTTTACTATATTTTTGCTTTATAAAGGAGGGCATAAATGAAGTCAAATTTATAGTTTTCTTCGCAGTTCCATTTTCAGCTAGTGTAGATACCATCCCAACTAAAAAAAGAACAGAACACTTGTGGGCGGTTTTTCCTTAGTGTAAAGCACAAATATGAACCAGTTTTCTAGCATGCTTCGTAAACCTTTTATATAAAGAAAAAAATGTTTCATTTCTTGAAGTAATTTCAGTTTAGTGCAGAGCATTGCAGTTGGTGGGATAAATAGTTGTTGATGGTAAAAATGTATTAAAATGAGTCGATAGGGGAAGATATTCTAGGCAAAATAGTCATCAAAAAGGAGGTCGACAGAAATTCATTGTCTGTCAATAAAAGGTAACTTCCAATTTCCCTGTATAATTATAGTGAACTTAATGCTGTTAAATATGCTTTTAATATCATGGTAGAATTTCCGCGTTTAGAAATGCTGAATAATTTGAATATTAGAAAATGCTGTATGTGATCTGTTTACAAGAAGTAAATATTTATTTTAGGCCGTAGGTTGTGATGGCAAAATAGAATCTACCGTTACTCCTGACTACTGTGGTGTGTGCAACGGAGACAATTCTACGTGTGAAACAATAAGTGGAAATTACCATGCTGTAAACCTCAGCGCAGGTAACAGAGTTTAATTCTGTTTTATTACCGGACTTATCCGAGAACAGATTTTTCATTCAAAATCGTAATTTAAAAAAAAATATATATATGTGCTTCCATAATACGACTATTGATAGACTTCCATAATACGAGACTCGAATTTTTATCATAAAATAACATTTCACAGAAGTTTACTATTATATTAAGCGTTTAAATTAAATTATAAATTTTAATATACACTGGTGTGCAAAACTTAAGCAACAGCAGGGTTTTTTGCCATAACTCCACGAGAAATCAACTGAAAGACATGAAATGCAGAAATGGAGGAGAGTATTATATACGTAAAGGATGACGAAAGCATTGGAGCTGAAAAAGGAATACAATGCATATGGTATGGAATCAAACAAAAACAAGCTTTATTGAACGCATAGTATCATGACTCATGATTGTCTATCCAAGAGGAAGAACAACAAGAAGATGTTCCTTAATATGGGATATGCCCTCCCTTCACTGCAATGGTTGCTTCGCACCTTCTCCGCATACTCAGAACCAGCTGGTGCAACATTTCTTGTGGACGGAGTGCCCATTCCTCAATCAGCATCTATTTGAGTTGTTGGGTGTCCTCCGTAGGATGTAAGCGTGCTGCAATGCGTCTTCCCAAAGCATTCCCACACATGTTCGATGGGATTTAAATCTGGGGAGTACGCTGGCCAATCCATTCGAGTGACATCTTCACTTTCTAGTAGCTCTTCAACAGCAAGAGTCCGATGTGGCAGTGCATTGTCATCCATAAAAATTAAGTCTGGGCCAATGGCACCTCGAAACAGACGCACATGGGGAAGGAGTACCTCCTCACAATAGCGATCCCCGGTTACAGTCCCTCTGTCGAAAACGTGGAGCTCAGTTCGCCCGTTCAGCATAATGCCTCCCCAGACAAGACCTCCAGGACCACCGTTACGGTGCCTTTCCTTGATGTTACTGGGATAAAACCGGGTCCCGACCTCTCTCCAAATCAAAACGCGTTGAGAATTGCTTCTGGTACTGAACCGACTCTCATCCGTATAGAGGACAGGACAGGACAGGAAAAAGTGCAGGGGGCACCACGACATCGTCATAGACAAAAATGGTATTGCCCCACTGCACTAACCTTTTCTGGCATTTATTAAGACAAAAGATTACAAGTCATTACATTACGCAGTTGACATAATAAATTACATTAGAGTAAAAAGTTATTTACATAGGAAGAACAATTATAAAGATAAACTGGGGCACAGGTAATCGAGGTACGGATATATTGGTATACAGAAATCAATATGAAGATAACATGTTACAATTAATTAGGTGTTGCAGTTTGACATTTGTTGGTGTGCTTGGAGGAATGCCTTAGCATATGGGAAGATGGATGTGATGTGAGTTATAATGCTATGTTATTTTTGTGTTGGTGTATCATTGTGTGATTGTGCACAGATTTTCCAAAGTTTACTTTGCACAGAGTTCATTATGCATAGAGTGTCAATGTGCACAGAATTGTGCCACAGCAGCCATGGAGAGCACTTTGTATAATGTGCATCAGATAATAGTGTAAAGTTCAAAGTACTGTGCTTTGGTAATTTGAAGGCCTGGTAGTTGATAATTATCACTCACATAAATAGTGATGACTTAGGATAGGAGCACTGCCTGTTGAATATCATATTTGCCTTAGATTGTTTTCCATGGAAAAGTTAAATGGTGAGCTGCAGATTAGATTTCATTCATTCTTCAGTGGAAGTGAGCAAACAGTCATAATTCTTTGGACAGCTGTGTGGTGGCACTTCGATTGCTAAGTATTCATCATTACGTCCATTTTGTTATTTTTACTGTACAGAGTTGCTGAGCAATGGCGCTTGCTGACTGCTGTCGGCCTCTTTTCGCCTGCAGGACAATATATCGGTCATTCCCTGCAGTTGTCGTCCTCGGGCGGCCACCACCAACCTTTCTAACAGCTGTACCTGTGGTTTGGAACGCTTTCCAAGCGCGCGAAACGACACTTCTGTTGATTCCGAACTCTGCAGCTACCTGGTGACAGTACGCCCCTCCTCCAGCTTTCCGATCATTCTTCCACGTGTGAAGTCGTCCGGGTGATTTCTTCTAGCCATATTTCACGAACTGACTCACTGGCACTTGCAACGAATTGCGTCTCCGTCCTTCCTTTTATACTACTGTTGAGCTGCGCGCGCCGACATCACGCATTTTTGTGTACGCTCACGTCGCCTCTGACGTTTCATTCCCGATATTTGCATACGCATGACGTTTCTACTGACTTACGTGTTCATTGTACTGATCTCCAGACCTCCTTTTCTGCAATTTCATGGCTATCTGCTAAATTTTTACATTGTTGCTTAAGTTTTGCACACCAGTTTAATTTCAGATTTTATACTTAATACCTCAGGAGAAAGTGGTGGTGAATTAGATTATGATTGGGTTATGTTGAGTAAAAAATAGAGGAAATTATGGCCAAATTCTGTTGAGGAAGAAATTCTGAAGGGTATGACACTGAGAATTTCCCTGTGGGTATCTAGACAAACCCATGCAATGTGAAGTTAACAATGAAAAGGCCGAGGACTACAAAAATTGAGTTTATTACCAGAGTAAAAAGGAACTAAAAACATTTCAGAAGCAATAACAAAATCCAATTGTGGAGGAAATATCTTCAGAGAAAAAAGGAACAAATAAAAGATGAACACAGTTCTTTGACCTCGAAAATAGTACAAAATGAGGAAATCTGGAAAATTTCATCTAATGATACTCTGATAAAGTTGTAGCAAGCTATAGCAAAGCACTTTCAATGACATGTCTTTTAGAAAATGTTTAAAACGTAATCAACAACAAATCATACTGGACAAATTCTGAGCGAAACGGAAATGTATTAAAAATTCCCAGTAAGTCTCAAGCAGACTCAAGTGGTGCTAAGAGATAAAGGTAAGATAAAGAAATAGGTGTCCCATAAAAACAATGTCCTAGTATTTTATGGAAAGGGACATTTCATTCAAACAGTAACATCTCTTCCTTTTCCTTTCCTTATTATTTTCCACTTATAGCATTCACTCTGTTTTGCAAGGTTACTGTAGAACTTAAATTTTTGTCTATATTTTCTGTTTAATATTGTGTTTAGCTTATATTAATGATTTCCATTATGTTTATGATGTGAACTTGGGCGCAAAATACTGTTGTAAATGTTAAATAAGCCACCATCTGTGACCCAGAAAAGGATTAATCTACTTTACATTAATTCCTGTGAGGCGAATAATTTTGGTTTACGAACATTTCGGATTCCAACTGTCCTTCTTAGATGACAATTAATTAAATTCACGAAATGAGGCTTCAATGTGAATGATAAAAACCTACACTGAATATTAATATTCGCAAAATGATGATTATCACCCTTCCGGTGATGAGGGAATTGTGAAAATTTTGATTTTGTTACTGTAAATTATCACTTAAATGATGAAAAATATACGTTAAATCCATCATTCATAAGCAACTATCTACTAACAGAATTCCAGGTTGCTTGGTGGGAGTATTATTGTTAATCATAATTTATATTCTTTTCTGTGCTGGCATTTAGATACGATACGGAATACTGGGAACATTACTCAAGTAATGAATCTGAACACTTAAAATGATTTCCTGTGAGATACCAAGCAGACAGGAAACAGTTAATTTTTACTAATAGGCATCATTGAATCAACATTACAATAATCGTAGATAGGCACCATATCGAAATAATCTACAAGGTTAAACTAGAGTATTACAGATATAATAACATAATCTCTGTAGCACATTCCACGATGTAATTTTAAAAATAATTAGATAAGAAGTAAAAAAAAGAATAATTTATCAGTTACTCTCTACATAATCTAAGTTACACACTTCACGACTACCTAATAGAAATTTAATGACTGCAGTGCATCGCAGTGATCGATCTAATGAATGCAATATACTATTACGATGATCGAAAAGCAGTGCAGGATTTTGGCTAGCCAAAATTCAAGCGCATAGAGGTACTATATTACTGATTCCTCTACGGAAATTTTTATAGATTATCACAATTTTGATATCAAGGCCCTTCTTTTTCAACACCACTGAATTAACATTTGAGTAGTTTTATTCATAGGTAAATAATGTCATTTGATAGGCTATATGTTTTCATGTTATGCTTTATGAATTTTATGTGCACGATTATGCCGCAGAAAACGATCTATTATATCCAAGTACTATAAGTGAATACTAATATAAAGGCTAGTTTAATATGAATGTTAAAGGTGTAGGTCATTAGATTTTTCATAGCAGAAAACATAAAATATCAATGGTTGAAGAAAGAGGAATGAAACTCAGTCCACCAAATTCGCCACTGCAAAGCTATTATAGGCTTTACTTTTTCGAAGTAGGAAACGAGCAAAATCAGCTGTGCGTTGGCTGGGATTCAAACTACGGATTCTATCGCGACGGGCTACGAATTACACTGTGAAAACAAGGATGAGGGAAGGGAATAATATTCTATAAAAGAAGTTCTAAAATCTTAATCTTAAGTTTTTAACATATTCGCTACTAACGCGTAAAATAGCACCGTTTTCCACATATGAATTGCGTATTTTTTAAAGCAATGTTCAAACCTAATTCCAGTATGAGAATTCAAGGTAGTTTTAATTAAAAATATAATTTTGATATTTTTTTAAATTTTAATATTGCATAATTATTTTAATGTTATTTAAACAAGTCAACGTAAAGACAGGTAACAAAGCAAAATATGAGTCATAGCTCTTTCTAGTCTGCTACCTAATATGAGTGCAGTTGCTATGAACTTTGCTGAGAAATAACTGTGGGACTATGCTTTTACCACCATGTCGTTGGTCTGTTTCAGGAAACCATATAGCTTCTATATGAGCCGATCAGTAGCGAACATGTTAAAACTAGAAATGAGAAGAAAAATGGTACACTGAAGATGCTGATAGAGTTAAATCAACATATCACTGCAAACTCAAAAACGCAGCAGAAATTTTATTATTCTCAATGAATAGCAACTGAATGCTTGAAATTAACAGAAATGTTTTCTTCTGTTTGGGTTTCACGTGAACTCACAGCTGAAAAGCCCCAGCAGAGAGATTCGATTTGTACTTTTCTTTTCACAATAAAGGAAGTGGAATCTTTCTAATTGTGATGTAGATAGGAAAAAAGAATTATTTACGTTAATATTAATCGAAAAGGAAAGCGGTTAAGCCCCCTCACAAAGAAAAGTATTAGGATATGGAAGTTGTTTTTTCATGAATTATTAGAAAATAAATAAACCTTCTTATCATCACGCACGGCTCTACTATTTTCGGCTCTCTACGTTATCAGTATAATTAGAGCCTCTTGCCAATTAAATTTATTAATAATTAAAAGCGAAATAAACCTTTACTCAGAGCCAGGTTTAGATTTGATAAGGCTCTAAGCTATTCGAAATATGGAGCCCTTTATAAGTCTGTTATACTATTCTTATACAATATTTTAATTTTTTGGGTCACCCCCAAGAAAGTGGAGGCCCTAAGCTACAGCTTATACGTAAATCTTGCACTGCCTTTACTTAGATGTCACTTAAAATAATAACTTAGCTGGCGGCCTTAAAAATTCGGAGCTCTAGAGCCTATCTATGTTGCCTATCCCTGGATACCTGTTTTTCGGTTAAAAATTTGAAATGGGCCTTAACCATTGATCTGATGCGAAATCTTCAGCAAGATAAAGCTAAATCACGTATTACAAGAAGTGATTCGAAGTTAAACAATGAGAAATGTTTAATCCTCTGTCTGAGAGTCTTAATATTCCTCTTTCCAGTTATAAATCACTATCAGTTTCTTTTTGGCAGAAACTTAACGGTAAACAGAAACTGAAAATACACTAAATTAATTGGATTAAATTGGATTATTTGTATTTTGGCAAATCCGCTCGGTCGCTAAATAAATATTTTGCGGCAAAATCAAAACAGTTCTTCAGAAAGATGATTAGAAAATAGCTTGAAAGATGAAGTCATAAAATATGATGGTTATTTTATTGTCATTCAAACTTAAAGCCAGAAAACAAATACGTTGTCCCATAGTTGAAGTTTTCTGTATCAATTCTACATTGCTTTCCGTTCAATCTGATATAACTCGCTCGATGTAACATACTAACTTTCGTAAATCTTTCGATTACACCCTTTTATAGATGAGTTATTTTATGGGTATTTAATTTTCGTCGTGTGCAAATGATGATGTTTTAAAGCGAACACAGAAATTCGGTGGAATGTGTAAATAAAACATCTAAATACAGAGAAAACAGCTAAATACTGAAATTCTGTATTTTAGAGTGGAAGTGGATGTATCCATATTTGGAGCTGGGATATCAAAAAATTAAGAAAAGAATTCAATCCCTCCCCTCTGCATAAGTTGCATTGCTTTTGATAGCATCAAGAGTGTTTTTTTTTTTTTATGGAAATAATCATTTTTTGAAACGACTGAGAATCGCACACGTGTTTACGTAAGTTTTCGTTTTAATTAACGCAGTGCAGTTTATCATCTCTCAGTTCAAGGCTATTTCCTCGTAATTCATCCTGAATAAATAGAGATTTTTTTTTAGTTTCTTATTTCTAAATTGTATACCATTCTATATGTAATTCTTAAATCCATCAATTTAAATTGAGAATGTTGTACTTCTTAATCAGTAACTTATTAACAAAATAAGGTGTTTCAAATGAAAATTTTTGTATGTCTATATAATTTTTTTTAAAAATCTCTTTTTTTTTTTTTCCTTATATAATTTCCTTATAGAATATTTTGAGACATAAAATTCTAAAATCTACTATCAGTAAGAGTGAAATTATTTTTTCACAGACTGGTTATTTGGCATTATTGCTTGGAATTCCGAACAAATTTTTCCCATTTTTTCTCTTATGTGTTAAACTGATTTACATTTCCATGTAAGTAGTAACCAGTAGGCGGAATAGACGTCACAGAAAAGAGGCTTGGTCTCCGCCATCCTGGATTTTCCAGGAAGTGACGCGTTAGAATGACGTCATGAAAGTTTCGTTTTATTTTGTGGCAACGATTTATTCTTTATTTAATTTCTTTAAAAATAATATAGGGCGATATTTGGTGGCAACGATTTGAAAAGTGATTCAGCCGTTGATAACGGACGACGCAAAATTCTATTTCCAGACTAATAGCCTAAAAGTTAAATACGACTTAAATACGCATTTGTTAAATACGCAAAAGTTTTAGTATAAAAAGTCTCGACTAATAGTAGTTTCGAGACTAATACCCTAAAAGCTAAGTTTTTATTAGCCTAAAAGAGCGTTAGCGTTACCCCATTCGGGCAACGATCTTTTAGGCTAATAAAAATTAAAAAAATAGCAGTTTATATTTGGTAAAATAAAATATTTTATAAGAAATAATACAGGCATTTTTATCATAAATTCGAGTTTAAAACGTTCGACAGCGAGATACGAAAATAGATTAGATGGAAAGATTTGCTATAGGAAGCTTATTAATATTTATGTTACTTCATAAGATTATCTTTTTATGAAAAATAGAGGAACGTTACAATGTATGAAAATTAGAAATAAAAAGAGAAAACGTAAAAGATATAATATATATATATAAGCTTTAAATTCAAATTCATGTACAAAAATTTAATAAATTTAGTACTCTTATCTTACAGGTTACCATGAAGTCATTCGGATACCTCCACACTCCAGACATTTAAATATCTCAGAAACTCGAGATTTTCCAACGTATTTAGCTTTACGTGAGAGCACAGGTCAGTATCGTTTAAACGGAAATTGGATACTTCATTGGCCTGGAAGGTATAATGCTGCTGGAACAACTCTCAGTTACAGAAGATGGCCTGGGAAGCCAGAAAGTTTATTAACAAAAGGACCAACAATGAAAGAACTGATTGTTGAGGTAACTGCAGTCTTACAAAAACTCCTTATAAAATAAAATATTTTATAAGAAACAATTCAGGCATTGTTATCATAAATTCCAGTAACATACCCCTTCACCTTTACGATCATGGCATATGTCATCTTCATCGCATAACACTTATTTTTTCCACTCCATATGACACTAAAGTACAGCCTTTATTCCTACGCTTTAGATAAATTTCGAAGTCGTTACATGCTTTACATTATGATGAATATATGCCTAAATCAGCATCTTATTTTTTCACTTCATATAAAGTGAAGCTACAGTTGAAAACTGAATGACAGCTGATTGTGGACCCGACAACCTATGTTTCAACTTATTTACTTAGAATTCTGAAATACAATTTAGTTTAATTTGATTTTGTTTTAAAACACATTGTTTAAAATTACATTCGAATAATTAATAATGTTACTCTTGATGATATTAATTTAAGGTATATTTAGTGCATAGAAACAGATCCCATTTAGTTAAATAAAATATGCAAATTTATGAAATTCCTACATCATATTAAAATTTAATGTGTATTTTTTTTTTATTATTTTATAAAACTGTTAACACCGTTTGTTAACTTGGCAAAATCTCTTCTCGCTATTAGCATATATTTCCTTGCGTGTTTCCTACTTTTTCACTTATATGAAGCAAAGAAAGTATTGTAATCGCGAAAAATTGCGAATATCATATTTCAACGAAAATATCCATTTTGACAGCTCTCAAATCCATTTATCCGTACGCATAGAATAAAGCACTCTTTTCCTCAAGGCGAATTATAAAATGGATTTAGAAGAGAATTTTTTGTGACATCTTAACGTGTGTACCTATGCATCTATCTAGGAAAACTCAAAAACGAGTAGCCTCAGAATGTTGAAATTTTGTAGATGGGACTGCTACAACATGCTTTTTTTTTTTTTTTTTTTTTTTTTTTTTTTTTTTTTAATTCACGCAAACAGCTAAGTAATGTTTGTAATTTTAATTTTACAAAGGACTTTCAAGTTTAGTTTTCATATTTGAGTATTTTTGAATATATTTATTCTTTAGCATTTATTTGTCATTTGATTGTTAGCCTTACTAGGCCAATTGTGATTTAGGATTTGATTTGAATTATGTTTAACTTTTTATTTTTTACTTTAAATATTTTAGAACACCCAGACATGTCCGAAAAAGAGACAAATCTAGTGAGATTTTTGTTAAGTTTAAATTTGTAAAGAAATTTGAGTTCGCTTAATATCGTTTGAAGTATAAATGGATTTGTCTTGCATGGTCTAGTTAATTAACTTGATTTGAGGCTTTAAGATACTTTTTCCTTGACAAGTTCTGTTTGAAACTTTGAGCAGTTTTTTTTTTTTTTTTGTTGCTATTGTTCTTGTTTTCTCAAATTTTTCTGTTTTAAAAAGTTTTTTTTAGTTCATAATTTGTAATTTACTTAGTAACTCATTTTACAAAGTGTTTCTGGAATTAAAATAGTTAACTTCAGGTGTTTCTAACGACTACTTCTAGGTTTTAATTTTTTTTCTTTTTATTTTAATTCATTTAAAAAACCAGCAGCTATAAGTGCTATTTTTAACTAAATTGGTCATTCGTTTTTTAAAAATGCTTTTTTACTCCTTTTTTTGCTTATACCGTAAATGTTGCGACAAACTTCTAGGGGATGTAGAGGAGACTTCTAGGAGACATCATAAGGATTAAGAATTGCATAGGAACCCACGTCCGGAAAGTATTATGCCAGACATATTCAAACACAGCGGGAGTTTCTTTGATTGTAGCAGCTGCGCAGGCGAGTCTTGCTACGAGATCCATTTCACACACAACAAGATCAACAAGACGGCACTTTTGATGGCTTCCCACAAAAAGAAATCAAGGCTTGATAAATCCATGGGGGCCAGGGAACTGGTCCATTACCCCCAATTCATCGATGCGGGAATGATCTGTTCAAATGGCTTCGAACATCCAGTCCAAAATGAGCAGGGCCCCAATCATGCTGGAATCGCATTGTTGCGCCTCACATTTGGTGGAACATGGTCAAGCAAATCGGGAAGAACCTTCTCCAGATAGATCAAATTCGGATTAATTAATTTGAATCAAATGTTTCGTCGGTGACAGGCATGTTTAGCGTCTGATGGTGCAAATTTCGAGCATCTGTTGTAACATTCAAGCTGTCGTACACCATTTGTATTCTTGCCCAATAAATGTTTCAAATTAATCACTCTTGCTTCTTTTCCCATCTTCTACCTCTGCTACCACTTACCCCTAACATTTCCAGGTATAGGTTTGGGGTGGGGCGCTTTTGGTTACTTGTTGTGGTGCGAAGTTGCGTAAACTCAAACATATTTATTATTATAACCAGAACTCTTTACACACACATATAATTTAGAGATAGCAAAGATAGATATTACATTAATTATAGTCCTCGTAGTGTGCGGAGTCTCTTAACGAGAGCTCAAGGGCATCGTAGGTTTCTCTAGTCGAGAGTTCAGAAGCGTTCTTCTGTTGTTACTCCGATGGCGAAAATCTTCAGACTGAATTAGCCCCCGCCTCCTTAATTTTACAGTAGCATTTTACATGCTCTGATTCGTTATATCTGGAACAATATCAGAGGAAAAATCAGATCATTGGTTCTTCACCCCTCCTCAAATTGAGAATTGACGACAGAGACAGTGCAGAAAGTTGAAATCTTCTGACACTAGGTATGAAGTTATGTCTCTGCAATGTCAAAACATGTCTAATGACACATCGTAAAGGCTGGAAGCCGTGAATTGCAGGGACCGAACACACGATCTACTTATCTCTGAGTGGTCCACCGCAGGTTCCTATTCAATCCTTATGGTGCCTTACATCCCCTAGAAATTTGTCGCAACATTTACAATACATATATAGAGATATAAGTACTTACTCCGTTACCCAACAAAGTGTAACCTCAGATTTTTTATTCTTATATGTTCGTAAATTGTGCATTTTCTGCTTTAAAACGGATTGAATTATGTTGTCCTTATGTTCCGGATAAGTCGTTTATGCCTTTAATTAACCTGTAGAACTAATCTGTAGTTGTAGAATTATCAACAATTTAAAAGCTGTTTAAGTGGTACTCAGCCTAATGAGGCCACCATTTCTTTGCATCTGAAATTCTTAATAGAATGATGAATTTCTACTAAGAGTGCAGACAGTTTGTGCGCCAACTTCGGTCATCGGGGCTCAGTTCGAAGGATTCATCACTGAAGACAATTCTGCACCCGTTAGTGACATTCCAGGTCGAATGTGCCTGATACCAATGCAGACGGGCTTGTCGGTGTACAGAGGTCAATGGCAGTCGAAGCAAGGGGCGCCATGACCTCAGTCCTGTTTCTCTGAGTCGCCTATTTATGGTCCTTGCGGTCACTGAAGCACACCACGTAGGATCGATGATAATGATGTACGTAGGATGATCGATGATAATGATGTACGTAAGATGATCGATGATAATTATGCGCATAGGGTCGATGATAATGATAAATCTGGGGCTCTGAGTGCCGCTCTGACCATTGATCTGTCATCATATTCTATCGTCTCTCTAAGACGACCGTTTCCTTCTTGACCTTGCGTTCAGCAATGGTTCGCTCATTCCTGCCAATATCATCTAATAGTGGCATCGCTCCTATTCAAAAGTCGAGCAATTCGCTGATTAAATCAATCGGCTTCTTTGAGCCCAACTACATGGCCTCTCAAATGCTGACATATATGCATATTGTTTGTGCACCCGTATGCGAGGCATTGTTACTGTCTACCTGAGTACACGGAATGAAATGTGCAAAGAATATATGACCTGGAATGGAAATTTCTCCTATTTAATATCGTGCCAGATGCGCATTTAAGATGCGCTGCAGCGCCACATGTTCATTCATTGGCTGTCTAACTTTAAAATTTTGCGTTTTTCATATCGAAATCTGTATGCATATCAATTTATGTCCAATTTGCATCACTTATTCTTTTTTTTTTTTTTTTTTTTTTGTCTCAGAGTGCATCTTCCTTGTTACTTGAATCTCTCTTGTTCTGACTGTTGTCTCTGCTGCACCTTAAACCTCAAATCAAAAGTAAATAATTAAAGAAAATGAATATGCAGCTGACTCAGCGAAATTCGTAGAGTGAATGTGAGTTCGTGTTTCCTTCGCCAGTTCTTGTATTAGGCTGGCATAAAGTTCAACGCATAGAAGGGAAAAGTTCGGTCTGATCTTCGAAGGTAATTCGCTAGGGTTTATCTTTGTTAGTACGATGAAAGCAATCACTAAGTGAACTAGTTCATTTTAAAATATAGGGGAGCTCGTTCTCTGAGCGCATTGAGGAAAAGGAAAATTAAAACAATTTTTAAATTTTTGTAACCTGGCCCTAAAAGGCTAGGGTAAAAATACACGAGAAAATACGATATTTTATTCCGTTTTTTATTTAACCTTTCATTATATAAATATTCTTATATGATGAAACGAATAAAATTTTAGATTATTGTTTTTCATTGGAAAATCATATGATGGTAATGTCTCGCAGTTCTTTTTGATTTTCTGAACTATTTAACATTCTGCTGTGTAATTTTAACTTATTCTGCTTACCAAGGAATAGAAGCACGTTAAGTGGAAATAAAGCGGGAAAAAAATTAGGGGACTTGACCTTCTTCCACATTAGCCATTTATAACGATTATGATGCAAGCCAAAGGGAGGAGATAACCTTGAAATCGGTTTTAAAGTAAAAAACTACAAAATGCTCTTTTTTCTGACTTTCGTTAGTACTGAATGTTAATTGAAAAATTTTAAAAAGTAATGCTTTTCTTTGAAAATATTAAGGAAATTGAAATTATCTATTCTGTCTGATTTTTTCTCTTTCAGATATTAGTACGTGAAAATGAAGAAGCATTTATAAATTATGAATTTGTTGTATCGAAAGTCCATGGACATTGGAAAACACAGAATTCGTCATGTTCAACAACATGTAGCAACGGTACTGTATATGTTAACCCTTTAACTGTCAAGTTATTTTGATGATTTGGGTACACAAAATGTCAAATTTTTTTATTGCAAAAATCAAATGTTTAGTACAAAATAAAATATACTTAAGTAGTTAAAAATTGATATTTTGAAATACATAAGTAAAATTTTTAAAGTTTTGTAGAAAATGCGTATTTGCTTGAAGTGGCTGCCACTCAACATGGCAGTTGTAAAGTTCGCTTCTAGTGGAGCATTATTTTCTAAAAAAGAAAAAATTTAATTATTTTCTAAAAAATAAATAAATATAAGTGAATACCTATTAGTAGTTCAGTAATTCAGCCTTGTGTGTTACAACTGGAAACACTTTTCCAAGCACAAACCAACTCCACAATCACTACACCAGAATCGTGATTCCTTTCTTATCTTTTCCCCATTTTTATCCTTTTTCGAGCAACACACTTTGCACTGTCTTGTAGGCTCACGTTTCGCAGGAGTAGGAGGAATATGGGATATAAAATGTCGTTCGGTAAGACGGGCAGGGTTATCTATTGTAGGTCGTCTGACAACATTCTTTTGTCCAGAAGCTGCATCATCATATTTATGTAAAAGCTCTTCTACAACTTGGATTCGAAATTCTAAAAATGTAATACGTTTCCCAACTACATTTTTATAGAGCAAATGTGAGTTCCAGAGTACCTTGTCTAGTAAATGTAAAAATATCTTTTTATAATATTTTTTCTGACATTTTCGGATTGTTGGATGAAAGGATATTTCCTAATCACGGCGATCTACACCACCCATAGTTAGACTGTAATTAGAAACAATCTTCGGCTTGAGTATATCTCCATTTTTTTTATTTTTGAGGCTGACCATGGAAGCATCATGAATACTGCTCATCAAACACACATTCTTCATCTTCGGTTGAAGAATCTAAATCATCTATATAACGTTTCAAAGAACTGGAAGCCATTTTACAACAAAAACATCCCATGCACTTTGAACCAAAGAACGTATAACCTCTAACCTTTGAAATCTTCAGAAAATGCTGTCATCTATTGAACTGAGCGCACATTAACTTTTACCGAGATACAGTCGGGTTTGACAAAGAGATGAAGCCGAAATAAATGTCTCTCGATATATATTCGGGTATAACAATACGATGCACTCAAAAAAAAAATTACCCCGAGTAATACTCGGGCGTGACATTTTTGAACACCAGTGCTGTGCCCGAGATTATCTCGGGCATGACAGTTAAAGGGTTAAAATTTATTCTTGGTATGGTTTGCCTATCTTTAGTGTAAATCCAGAATCATACACTATGCAAATAATTACTTTTTAAGAAATAAATAAGTATCCTTTATGAAATAAAAGTATCTTTTAGCAATAGGATGGTTTAAATACACTTTCGGAAAATTATTACCAATTTTTTTTTCAGCTTTGATTGTTGGGCAGCGATATTGCTTCGCAAAATACGAATATCTTTATTTTGCGTTGATTATTTATGAGCTTTTTTTAATTAATTTATGAAGTAATATTTTATTATTAGGAGAAATATAATGATAAATTAATTTTTTCCAAACTGTTATCAATAGAGTACATTCGGAGGTTCCTTAATATAGGTCTCATTATTTAAACTACGCGAAGATCATCACTGGGATTTAATTAAAAATAAGTTAAAAACTTAATAGAAGATAGCGAACATGTTTGCTTCTTACTGCTGCAATGTTTCTGAGGTTGTTTTTAATTTAAAATCGAAAGTATTTTCCCTTCCCATGTTGTCATTACGTATGCTCTTTTTGGCCCAAAGGAACGTTAGCTCAGAAGGGCTATTAATTTCGTTTTGGCATTTTGCGCCGATTCACTTTTCAAACTATTGCCATCAAATATTATCACCCTGTGTTATATTTAAAGAAATTAAATAATAAAGAATCTGCATAAATGTATGTTTCTCGCACTGTGATAAAAAAACGGTACCTAGAGCCATCAAATTTTGAATAACGTAATCGTCCTCCGAATATGGGCAACTGGAAGCCCAAATTTGAAATTTGGAATTTGTTTTATTATCTATTTCATATTTTGTAAAGCATTTATGAGTTATTTTTAATGTAAAATCTGAAAATATAAAATGGGCTTAATGTAAAATCTGAAAGCTTTCAGATTTTTTTTTTTTTAAAACTTTTATATTTTCATGTTTCTTTTCTAAATTCTTTCGTTGACATATAGTTTTATGGTTACTTTTGTGTATTCGATTGCAAGGTAAAATGCTTCTTTTTTGGAAGAATGATATAGCATCTTCTTCCATCTTTTTTTTAAATAAAAAATTGAAAAAAGTATAGAAAACATGATAAAAATACAAAGACAGCACGTGACTACTCAGAGCTATTTTCATGACAGTTACTTTATAAGTGAGCTGTTGACGATTTGGTGAGCATTTACTAGAACGAGGATGGTTTATCGTTAATTTTGGCGTTCTTTAAATAATGGGAGCTATAATAATAAGGAAGTAACGAACATTCATTATGGTAATAAAATGAATATTTAATTCAATTTAAAATCAGTAATAAAATAGTTTACCATTATTATATGTATTAAAGCGTGTATATTTTTTTTCTAGGAACATTTATTTCATATCCAGTTTGTGTGAATTCTACAAATCATTTAGTAGATACTGCTTATTGTACTTTGTCTTCTAAACCTGTTACAAGAACATACTCCTGCTCAAACACAGTTTCTTGCATGGCCAGGTACAATACTACTTTAATACCAATTTTTAAAGACGCATTTTTTTTAATCTTTATGCATGGGGAGGGAAGAACTTATGTGTCATGATCTAGACTCTCTGCTTATTGATTCCATTTAAAAGCATAATTTTTGGTATGTATTTTCTTAAACTTCAGTTAGAGTCATTGCTTTATTTTCGAACATGATCTCTTAATTCTTCTGCTAAGATGAGGATACAGATTTAGAGTAAATGTACAGACATCCATTGCCATAGAAAGCAATCTTTATAAATATAAACTCATTAAAAGGAAGTGATCTCTGGGAGGGAGTAAAAACAAATTCAAGGCTGTGGCAAAAAATATTGAAATGATTTCAGTATATGCCTTTCATTATTCTTGGCACATTTCGCCAAAAGTCTCTAAAGTTTGTATGCAGTGTTGGAATTTCCAGTACGCTCTTAGTATTTTAAGTTACGTGCATAATTTTACCCTGTATGATGATATTGTTACGTGCATACTGGTTCGTACTGGATTGAATGCACACAGAACTGGTGACAGCTTGATAAAATTTATATTCCCGAAAGAAACACTTTGCAGTTCTGGAACTTTTCACAAAAGTACTCATAAAACTTTTTCTCAGGAACACAGTTAATAGTTACTACTTCAAACTGTTAAGAGCGTTAAACACAATGTAATGCAAAGCGCATCGCATCTAAGGACAGCACGGAGATCTCTCAATGCTTTGAACTAAAACCTTAGAATTTGATACTTTGATGCTTGCGTGACTTTTGCAGGATTTCTGCTACAACTGTAGCACTTTCCTGAAATCCTAAAAGAATCCCACTCGTGATCATTGTTGCATGAACTGTAACCACTCTGTTTGCTGGGATTCGAACCAAGGAGCGGACTACAAGTGTTCAATGACTTTACCGCTCGACCGTTTGTGGGCCTTTATGAAATAGAAGGCGGTAACTTTATTTAAAATGAATGTCAGAAATACCAAGATGTTTTAAAAAGTTGGATGCTTCTAGATATACTTGCAGATTGCCTGAAGAAAAAGAGCAAGCCATTAAAAAGAAAAAATAAATTTTTGCATAAAATTGAGTAATTTTTTTTTAACTTAAAACTTTTTTGATCTTATGATATTTGATTCTTGCAATTTCAAAAATAAAATACTTGACTAAAATATGAATAACATCTTAAGAAACTAAATGTAGGATGATAAAAATTGTATAAAGCAATGGACACAATGATAAAACTGTTTAAAGCAATGTATGCAAGTCATCCTAAATTAAATATCGGTTATACATGTCTCTTATTTATGTATCTTTTCTCAACGGAACATTGAAAGGCGTGTTAACTGTGCTTTACTGTATTTTCTCTTTTAATGTATGCAGTTTTCAAATGCATCGTAATCTGGGTCACAAGGTATTTTTCCGAAAGAAACACAATTCAAATAAAATCAAATTCTGGAAAAGTTATATTAATAAATATATTTAAAATGCGCAGTTTGAATGAAGGAATACAAAATTTTAAAACAATGATCTGAAGAGAAAATGCAATACAAACAATTAAAATAAAAGTCTAAGAATTTAAAAATTACCTACAATAATAACTATGACTAAAAAATATAGTAAAGAAAACTATTTGGAAAAAAAGAAAAGATGCGCCTTTTACATAAACTACGCAGTTCGAATGAGTAAATAGAAATTTTTAAAACAGTTAACAATTAAAATGAAATTCGAAAAAGAAAAAAATTAAAAATAATAACAATTATAGTTAAAATTATAATACGAAGAACATTATTTGAAAGAAAGAACGAGGTTCCTTTTTTCCCCTTCCCGCACAATGTGAAAAGGGAAAGGAAAATAGGTTGCCGTATATTAAGAAGTTCGCCAAGTGAAATATTTTTGGCGCAAACTGAAAAAAAAAAGTGCTAATATAAATTTTTGTTTACAAACTAATATTTAGGCATAATTTGAGTCGTAGAAGTGGTATGTTATTTCAGAAAAAGTCCGATTTTGTGTCAAAATACCTATGTTAGAATAGTGCCATATATAAATCTAATATATATCCTACGTCGCGCTCTCGAGACATGAAAAACGCAAATTGAATTCTGTCAATATGCCCAGTAAAACGGTAGATATATAACTGTACTTTTTTTTTTTTTTTTTTCCCCACAGTGTACGTACATCTGTCTCATACAGATGTCTTTTTGAAGTAGATATAACATGGTGGATTCTTCCAGTATTTATTTTCACATCAACTAATTTATTTGCTTGTTTTTTTCACTTGATTTATCTCGATATATAAATTGGTATGATCACTGGAGCCATCTCACTTGCTAATTCAATTTCTTATCTCCTAATATGTCTGAATGTTGCAGATATTATTGAAAGGTGCATTATTTCAACAAATTCTAAAGACGGTTTCACTGATGTTCATAGCAATATTTATTAATATCAGGTGGTATATTGGTGAATGGACATCTTGTAATCTTAACACCTGTGAGGAAGAATGGCAACAGAGAGAAGTATATTGCATTGTAGGAGAAAAGAAAACTGAAAAATTCCATTGCTCCATCCAAAATCAACCAGAAGATATGCGGAAATGCATCAAATTTAATTGCCTGTATTCCTGGTTTACAGGCCCATGGACAAAAGTAAGGTTAACATTAATTTAATTTATAATTCATTATAAAGTGTGAATTTATCATGTGCAAAAATTTCAAATACTAAAATGAATATTTTAGTGTCATGGCGTTTGCTCAAGAGGATTTCAGACACGATCAGTAACATGTCGTCGGAGTGAAAATGGTACAGCTGAAAGTTTTTCCAATTGCAACAAAGACCAACAGCCACCACATACGCGCAAATGTAGAAATGAAAAAAATTGCTATGCTCACCTACGAATTTATGATGGTGTGTGGACTACAAGCTCATGGAGTAAGGTAATTACATAAATGTATTGAAAAGAAATAGTTATAATTGGTATGTTTTGAATTTTGTAGAATTTTTCAGCTTTAAACATCTTTTAAATATTTAAAAAATATCTCCCTTTATATGCAGTAGAATATGCAAGGGTGCAGTTTGGCACTTGCAGCGCCAGGCCCAGCTAACAATTTCTTTTTCATGACAGAAAAAAAGATAGAGAGAGAAGAAGAAAGTAGATACTATCACGAATACAGGAGACTATAATTTAAATGCTATCTATCTAGTCGGTTTTTGTCATGTGGGACTCAAAAGTTTTATGTTTTATACAATGAGTATAAATTTTTACTAAATAATTTTAATTAAAGAAATAATATAACTAGAGATAAAATATAAGAATTGGAAGATTATATAATAAATTAGAAATTTTAATTTTTACAAAAACTGATTTCTTTAAATTTACAATTGCCAAAAACAATAAAAAAATCAAATACTTAATACACAAAATTAAATATGAATCACAAATAAATTCACATTTATATATAAATATTTATTTACTAGTACAAATGTAATGTACATATTTATATTTTGCATAATTAATATCTCCAAATATTTGTGAAATTTTAAAACAACTACAGGAGATGAGAAAGTTTACATAAATTGTTTCTTACCATACTACTTAACAATGGAATGGGTTCAAACTGAATATATCGCAAACATTTTCCCTAATTTACAACGTGTGTCCGAAATTTAAGGATGAATGTCATTATGCTAATGTATTGTTGTAGAATTCAACGATTCAGCATGTTATGATTTGAAAATTAAAAACACGCTCAGCAGAAAGCTGAAGAATGTGCAAATTTCTGATTCTTGCATTTAAAAGTTGTGTGATAACTCAAAAGCAGATGAAAAAGAAGTAGTACTGCAACAATTTACATTAGTTAAAAATTTAGAATATGAAACAGTGAACTTACAAATGTGAAATTTTTGTTGCACCTCAAAAAACATCACCTTGATGAGTTTATTCATAGAAGGAGTAAAATCAATTTCAAAGAAAGTTTTTATAATTACCAAGGCTGCAATGAAGTTTGGAATCACACTGTTATTTCCAGGTTTCAGGTAGTGCATCAGATGACTGCAATGTTTTCCAGACACTCTGCAGGAGCTTGCTCTCTTTCTACATTTATGCACAGTGATATTTAGCTCTAACAGCTGAACACATCTCAAATACAGTCAAAAGTCGTTAATCTGGACTCGTCGGGACTTCGGCGATTCCAGATTATCGATTTTTCCGGATTATAGATCATCAGTTTAAATCTGGTAAGATGGCATGCAGAAATTACAAAATTAAAAATTTGAAACCGTAATTTATGAAATAAAGAACAATTATGATCTAAAAGGTATCAAAATTTACAAAAAGAAAAAGCTTAATATTTATTTGTTTACTTTATTAAACATTTCTTTCAATATAAGTTGTTTAAGTTGCTTCGTTTCATGTGATAATACTTTCACTTTAATTCTATTAAACAGACATAATTTCTTGTTTAGTTACAAAGTTCCGCTGTTCAAGTCCTATAATTGCTGTGTCGAGAATACCGACTAATTTGTCAATCGAATTTTTTTCATTTTCAATAATCTCTGTGTCTCTTTCTTTACTATTGGAAGCAAATTATAATGACGAAAAACTTGTTTTAAATCATATCAAAGACGGAGTACATCGAGATGAAATACTACATTTAGTAAGGAATTATAAGCCAAATAAAATAAAAACATCTGCCCTGAAGATAAGGATAGATAAGGATAGTGCTGACAGATCAACTTCCAATTCATTGCGCGCCACGGCGTTCCCCCTGCCGAGCAGCGTGAAATTGATAAACAGATTTCGGATTTCGAAACATACTTTCGCTTTAGATCCTTTACATATTAGCAAATATATATCGGAAATTCTATTTGATATAATCGAAAGTTCAAGCTTACTTTTATAAAAATTGCTCTAACAGTCTGCAAAAAATAATAAGGCGTATCCAATTCGAAGATTAAGGAACAACGCAATCTGCAACATTAACTGAATTAGATAATTTTAGCTTAGCTTATACCGTCCGTTATATATTAAACGCGCATGCGCACATGCACATTCGCAGCCGTAAAGGTCTTACACACACACGTAAACGCCTATGCGCATGCGGCAACGCGACGCATGCGCAGAAAGTTTGTAGCTTTGAGGTCCGGATTACGGGTGTCCGAATTAATGACTTTTGACTGTACATGGCTAGCCAAGTAACAAAATGCTTCTATTGGAACACAGTAATGAGAGTATCCCACCAAGCTGTTACTTGCCATCTGATTTATACATAACTTCAAGATGGCTTGTTTTTAGGCTCTAGCCAAACAGCACCATAGATGACATCTACCATGCTATCAGATCCACCAAAATGAATGATGAAGTAATGCACCAATGTCTTCTTTGATCAGAGTTGATTTAATGGACAGTCAAATTCCAAATATGTATTCATCCGGTGAGAAAGAGGTAAGGCATGCAGGTACTTAGTTTTAATGTGGAAGTGATTGGATGATGGAATAATGATTAAGAGATATATTTATAAGGTATTTCTCCCGCCTTCTTAGCATGCCTTCGTAGTGTAGTGGTCACACTGAGTGCGTATTCTAGAGGTCTGTGGTTCGATTCCCAGTGAGGGTGTTGCTCATTCTTCATCACCCCTGCCTTAAAAATAACCTAATGACTCTACACACTGAGCTATAAATGTTGAAGAAAGATACCAGAATGTGTGACAACTATTGTGTAAAATGATTATTGAACATTACATTTTCTAGTTCTATTGTGTCATTCACATAGAACTTCTTTTTTTATGAATGATAATACCATGCCTCATCAAAATAAAGCAGCTGAGAATTTCTTGCAAAGTGAAAATAACTATTAAACGGTTATTGGCTTGCATTCTTCCCAGATCTCTACACAGTAGTCAACGACCGATCAAGAGCTAAACCTCTTGATCAATTATTGACTACTGTGTCGAGATGAAATGCAGCTGTCAGTAACTTTGCCAGAAAATAAGCAGAGACTAATCAATAGAAGAGGAATGAAATAATGTGCCCTAGGAATTTCTAGATTGTTGACTAATAAATGTGCTATGATGTGATTGTCGCATCACAGATTGAGCTGGACATAATTGCCTATAGACTACCTAAATCTGCTATGTTTGTACCAGTTTGAAATACTGCTAAACAACATTATATGAGAAAAACTTGTGTCATACTGAATTTTTCTACATCTTAGTGTTTGTTGATTTAGAATGACAATGTTAACTATTATGCGTTAAAGAATTTAGGTTGGTAGGTATAGTGTGAATGGCCAAACTTACATAAATAAGTGTTTTAAAATAAATAATGTAAAATTACTTTATGCCATTCAAAACTTTTTCTCAAAAATTTATAACTACAGCATTAATGGATGTAAAAAACCTTCCCAGAAAATGATCAGATTAATTTCTCCATATCTGAATCATAAAATAATATTCTTCTGTAAGTCAAGTGTTGAAACATTAAAAGTGCATAGATTTATTTCCACTGAAAGATTATGTAGATATAATGGTATGACTAAATGTCACTACATGAAGTTTATTACATTACAAATTTTGCTTTATATTCTAAATTCAGTACTTTTTTCCCGTATTATGTTTTATAATAAGAGATCAAATTATTTAAAGTACATGAGATATGAACACAAATATCATATATCGTACAGACCTTTCTACAGAGGCTGTTCACACATTTTTTAGACGTATATTGTATTCACAAAACTAAATTACATAAAATTCTTGTGTTTTAAATGTTCTATTTGACATCCCTTATTCTGAACTATCTTTCGACATTGTAATTTCCAGGATAATAATGCCTTTTGAAGTGGCAGAAAAGGTATTCTATCCCATTCCTCTCAAACAGCTTTCCAGAGTCCTGTTAGGGTTTTGGGACAACGTTTGGATAATGCAGTTTTTAAAAGTCCGAAAGCACAAAAATCCATAGGTGACACATTGGGAGATTTAATAGGGATATCAGTGAAGGGTATGGCCTTGATACCAGTTTTTTGTTTCATTTCTTTTAGGAAATTTACAGTGGATTTTGATGTGTGGCTGCTAGCTTTGTCCTGATGGAGTCTCACAGATTGTAAAGCGATGCTATTTCATTCAGAAAAATTGGCGATAAAATATGTTCCTGATAGTATTTGGAGTTAATCTTGACATTTTTTTGCACTCTCTTTATTTTTAACTTGCCATTATAAGAAAAATCAGCAACAATCATGAATCCCTTAGAAAAACTTTCTTTCGATTCTTTGAACCATGTACTTAAATTTTTTTCTCCCCTTTTATGATAATAAATGGCTCTTTTTTTGTTACAATTATTTAAATACACCCATGCTTCATCTATTGTGACAATTGTTTCCCATTTTTCTTTGGATAAGTATTTCTCATATAGAATTCTGCAGCGTGTCCTGCGTTGAGTGATATACTTTGGAAGAAGATGATGCACATTGCGTTTTTTGGCTTTCTTAAGAGTTAAATCAATGTTTATCATTTTGTTTACAGTGGACACCTAACATTTTAATGATTTTGCAACTGTCCTTTGACTAGGATTTTTTTTTTAACATTAAACAATGTACCTTTGCAATAGTCAAAGATGTCCGTTTTTTCCTTGGATATTTGTTTGAAATTTTTGTCCCAATTGAGGCTCCAATTTGATGTTTTCCTTTCTTGGTGATGATATTACCTATCGACGCTTTAGCTATCACAAAACCATGACTCTCACATCGTTTTTGGATAACGGAGTATGCATGTTTCTCTTCGGAAAGAGCGTAAATGTAACCTTCGAACCACTGCTTTGTTAAATTCGCCATTTTGAATAAAAACAAAACTTTCAAGCCACAGACGATAATTTTGACTTTTAAAAACATAGTACAATTGCAATTACTTCTTTTGCAGCAAACGATTTTTTATTACCGCTTACCAAAATCGTCTAAAAAATGTGCGAACAGCCCTCTGTATAAATAAATATAAAGAAAGATGTGGATTAAATTGCATGATTGACTTGTTTGGGATGTGGGATGAATACAATACAGGTTGTCCCAAAACAACCGCATAAATTCTGCAGAGCTAGATTCCTCATTGGGAGTACATAAAAACTGCCTAAAGAAGCGTTCCTGTACGATCCATAGTTTACGAGAAAAATACGAGAAACGAAGTATGATGTCACTGTCGGTGCAAGAAAAATAACGCTTTATTGGACATATCGATAAATTTCGCCTGGAAATTTATTGACCTATCTTTCCAGATGATAATGTTTAAAATGTTCACCGCGCATATCGCGTCATGCATGACGCATGCTCGCGCGCTGTAGAATGACGTTAAGCCGCCGTTGAACTGGTATTTAAGAGGCTGCATCTTGCAGCTACCGGTAGTCTTCGTATGGTGGCCATGTATTCCGTGTTCCAATTAGAAGTTGTAATTCCAATTAGAAGATTAAGGAACAACGCAATCTGCAACATTAACTGAAATAGATAATTAGATAATTTTAGCTTAGCTTATACAGTCGTTATACATTAAACGCGCATGCGTAAACGTATTTTGCGCATGCATAAAGGTATTATGCACATGCATTGACGCATACGCAGAAAGTTTGTAGCTTTGAGGTCCCGATTATAGATCATTCCGGATCATGGACATCTGGATTAAAGACTTTTGACTGTATATTAGACAATTATTAACAAACACTAATATATTGTGCATAATAATATCTAATGTTAATTTTGCTATTAATAACAAAAATAATATACATTAATCATAAGTTATTAATACAAATTTATCATGATACTTATTATTATATAGTAAATTAATATTTAAATAAAATTAAAGAAGTTAGGTGGCTTTATCTAATATGTTTATTACCAAACTACTTAATCATATCTTAATTAATCCAATATATTAAAACTACATATTATCATATTGCTTACATAATTATGCAAATTAATTAAGTTATACCATATTATGTATCAGTATCATAATCATTTAGGTATGCTTATGTTCATGAAACTAAGGAAATAAAAGATTAATAAATAATGATCATGTACTTACGAACAAATAAGACGTTCACAATTTGAAGTTCTGGAATTTCACTGAATATTTGTTTTCTGAGAAAATTCTTGTATCCATTTGTTAATATCTTCCGTATCTCTCAAGTTACTTCTAATTGTAACAGTAGCATCTAATGATTTCACTATTTCATTTTTAAATTAATCAGGAAGTTCAGAGGCAGCAATTTTCAAAATAGAGGTCATACTACAAACTAAAATAACTTCTACAAAAAACAAAAAAAAAAAAAAAAAAAGACTGTAAAAGGCTTTGTGACATCCTCATTGTAGGTGGAGTTAATGGTGATGGTCATCCAGATTGTTATTCAAGCAGTGTACAATTTGCTTATATGCTTTCTGAGTAAACTTAACCTCTATTTTATTTCTTTAATGAAATGATTCAGTTCAGATGAGAGCAATAACAGCTATATTTACAAAATGGCAGCAAGCAGCTGTGGGGGAATAGCTAAACAGAATTCATGGGCAAAATAATTTCTTTCTGGTGTATCTCGAAGATTTTTGATAAGATTCAAGTTTTGAGAACATTTTACCCATTACATACACCTTTACTTCCTTCAGCCTTGCCCTGCACTGATAAGTATTATTGTCAATCAAATGAAAAGCTGGATCAACTCATGAAGAGGGGCAAAGAATTAGTCCTAATACCTTTTATCCATCACAATACTCCTTAGAGCATATTACACGGCATAATATTTAGCCCGTATCATCACTGCCACAACTAAAGATATGGTATTAACATGTTACTGGGTTGGTTACATATCCATTTTTGTTTCATATTCTTAAACAGTGTGAATTTCTGAAGTGAGAGGTTCACCTCAAGCTTTTGGTGCCTCTCACTTTAGGACATAAGGTATATTTAATTTTTTTCCAAAATTAAGGATTTAGTGGTCCCTCATGACTATAACTCATATGACCCTATAAAAAGGACTTACTGGACCACTGTATTGCAAGTCAAATTAGTTTTTGATGTCATAAATTGCACTCTTTGTTTCATCCTGAACCTTACACATCAAAGGCAAATTTTGATTTACCTAGAAAGAATACACCAAACAATCACACTCTTGTGTCAGCCACATCTTGCACTACTTTGCACTCCTCCACCTTAGCACTTGAAAGGACATACGCTATATTGCCCAGATATAAAGCCTTTTGGCATTATCCTTCACCATACATTATTGACACTTATCAACATTCTTATTGCAAAGTAAGGATTGCTGAAAGAGTCACTGGAGTTCTTTGATGACTACGATTACACACTAACAGTAAAATAAATTGGTCATCAAAGATACTGTAGCCCTATATTATTTGGAATTCATCTCAATAACTGTACCACTTGTTTGGAATTTTTATAAATAAAAAAATACAGATTACTCCATAGAAAAGGAACAGATAACTTTCTTAATGGGTCATCCTGCTTCATGCATTAATAGCATAACAACATTGAGATGCTCCTAAATGTTATAACCTTTATGAAGTAAAAAGCTGATCCAATGTTATCATTCTTTGCAGAAATATTTTTTAAGCATTGATTCTCTTGTGCATTAACAAATCATTTTCATGCTGCATTTTTTTCAAAAAGTACTCCTTTGTTGAGAATTTACACTGTATGCTTAACATTTCGAAGGCAATTTACATACATGTCACAAACTTGAATAAATTTTTATTTTGCAGTGTGATGGAAGCTGTGGTAATCAAGAGCAAATACGTGATGTCACCTGCGTAAGTAAATTGAATGGCAAACAGAACAGCCCACAATGTGATCTTGATACAAAACCACCATCAAGACAATTTTGCATAAAAAACTGCCCAGATTCCAAATACCTTGGTAAACCATTCAAAAACATTTTTAACATTTTATTTTATAATGTTATATATTTCAAGTATTTGAAATATTGTGTAAGAGTTTTTAAAAAAAAAAAGAGAAAGAGAGAGAAAACTGCAATATATAAATTATAGTTTATTTTCTTGCTTAGGCTTTTATAGGTCAGTAAGTTAAACTCTTTTTAACCCTTTACGCACAGACTTTTTTTGCTCAGTTAAACTAGCAACTTTCTAGTAGCTACATTAAAATGACTTTATAAATATACAAATGTATACAAGTAATATAGTTTAATATTTTCAATATTCTGATTTTTGTCTTCCTACACCTCTTACTGCATCACTGCTTTTGTTGTGAAGAGATATATTCTCCTTGTTCAACAACAGAAAAATCAAACACTTCATTTTAACTTATTTTATCACCATCCATGGCTTACTTGAGCATTTGCTTATACTATCGTTATATTTTTATAAAGATTGTTTTGATTTATATACTATGGCAGTGTGTGTGTGAGTATTGACAGGGTATAAGTGTGTCTTAGTATTTTGCTAAGTCTAGCCTATGACTGTCTATCTGAAGGCTACTCAATAGGTCTTTAGTGATTGAGGCCTGCATGAATTCATTTGAAAATCTGACCTGCTAGTGAGTCTAATTTATAAAATGATAATGCTATAACTAGACTTTAGTATGGATGGATATCCCTTTGTTTGATCTGATCACCATTTGTACTCAGCAATTTTACGATGTTTTTGATTTTCCTCCTACTGTTGTGTCGGGATCTAGGTACTAATAGCATCAAAAACTTTAAAAGTAATATTCCTAATTATCATGATTGCCATACAATACTTAAAAGCTTAGAGAACCTATTCAAGATCAGGTGCTGATATCTGTTAGGAGGTTCAATGTTATAGAAGATAAGCAACCACTGTTGCCATTTGAGTTACTGTAAAAGGTGCCCTGATGCCTCACAGATGCAAAAGATTAAATGAAATAAAAAGATAAATTGAATACTTTTTGCCCCCTTCAAAATTAAAAGAATCAGCCAAAAATTTTCCTTCTCTCAAAATACTGGTGAGGAGATAAAATACATGAAAAAGTCTATAATGCCTTCTTGATGAATCCTGGCATTCATGATATCTGGCTAAATACCCAAGACTGTTATAACTTTTAATATAGCTACCATCAGCACAATAATAAAGGCACATTAAGAAGCATATTCAAGTTACAGCAAATACTTCGCATGTTTCCGAGTCTCCAACCTTGCTGCTGTCAAGTTATACTAAAACAGAATTCACAGCAAAAGAAACCATTAAAATGCAGGAAAGTTGCTTTAATATTCTTCATTTGATATTGATGCAATGGTATGAAATGCATATTACTATGTTCATGATATGGTTTAAAAGTCTGATGATTTCTACTTTAAAAATAATAGATACTCATATCACAGGCACTTTCATGTATTCAGAGATAACATCTAGTTCTACTTACATTTATAAATGAAAGCTGTAATTTTTTCGAAGCAAATTTGTCATATATACCAATTTTAATCTTATTATGAATTGATTTTTAAATGTCTCTCTTTTTCATATTTTTTACTCTTTATATCATATACTTTTCTAAATTTTTAATGGAAGTGTTTTTTTTTTAATCTACTCAGTTTATTTAAAAATATAAGATATATAGCCAAAAAAACAACTGAAGTAATTTTTAAGCAGATAAAGTTAACACTTCAATATTTTGATAGGATTCTCTATGCAAGTCAATAAAAACAACACATTCAAGCTTCTTTTATACCATTAAAAAAGGCTCTGGAATTATTGACACAAAATATTATTCAAGGTTGTCAGCATATTTTCTTTCATCTCACACACATCATTATATTGTTTCCCTTTCATAATTTCATTAGTCCATTGTATAACAAAAATAATAAGATGCTAATTTAAGCAGGTAATATGGATAAAATATGCACACAAATGTTGTCCTATCAATGCAAAGAACAACATTTGTGTTTCAAGATATTTCACCAACAGTTTTCCAAGAACTATTGGCAAAGGTATGTTAGTTGAAGCAACCATCTTCCGTCATCCACATTTCTGGCCCTTTCAATCAAATATTCATACGCAGTCTTTCCAAGGTATCAAGAAAAAATATGGTTTCACTCTTTGTCCTTGTGCCTAATCTCATTAGCCACCCAGCCAGTATATAGTTAGCGCCTAGGTTCGAATCCCAGATAAGGCATCTTTGTAAGCATTTAATGTCATATAAAGTCAGGATGGTAAGGAGGAACTCGAAACACACAGCGAGCCAAGAGTCTTCTTGAGAGGTAGGGAAAAAGAAAAGAAGTGGGGAAAGTATAAGACCACCCCCCAGGGTGATCGACCTCAAAATTTGGATGGAAGCTTACCAGTTAGCTAGGTTTAGCAATACCTTGATCACCTGTAGTATAACATAAGTGTTGAGTATAACAGAGGCTGCTAAGTGTCACAAGTAGGAGTACACACAAAACAATATTAAGGATGAACCAGATCACACAGAATGACGTCCCATAGTATATTAGTATAAGAAATGATGATGATGACAATCTCTAGAAACATATAAACAAAATGTGTGCAAACTATGATGGTATTCTAGTTATTTTTGGCACTCATTTTTATGTAATAAACATGGCGATTACTGATTACAGCAAACTGCTCAAGAACTATCTGCATAAGAACAATTGTGTACGTGTAGCAAAATGGCCTCCTATTACATGGGGGAGTGGAAGAAAGATAAATTCGTATTATCAGCCCTTTTTGCTAGGCTAATTTTGAGGTCTAGAACTACATATGTGGCTTGATTACACAGCCACAGGTTACTAAATTTGAATACAGTAGAATTTTTAAATTGCATACATGAAATATTAGTTTTTAGTTTCAATTCAAGATTATTTTCAACTATAGATAATTCTAGAAGTGCAATAGTATTGTTTCTTAGTTCTGTTAGAAAAAAATACCAGCAGAGTACAACTCTTGTTCAGCATTCATTATACAGTTTTATTGCTATCAGAAAAGCAAAATTTTAGATTGTTAAAAAATCATGGTATCTACGAGGTTTTTTTTTTTTTTTTTTTTTTTTTTTTTTTTTCTGGCCTATAAGATGTACTCCCTTTTATACACATTTTTGAAGGAAAAAAACCTTATAATGAACTTGCAATATTTAAAAAATAAAGTAATACAAAGTAATACTTTCTCCAAATACCCAATCTATCTGGGAAAGAACACCTTTTAATCCTCTTTATCAAAACCAGACATTCATCTCCAGAGCTAAATGAAGAGTCACTTGATATCTTTTCTAAATCATCATCTGACTCCTCATACAACAAATTGTCCTCTATACCATCCAGTGCATTACTAATACCACATTTCTTAAATGATTTAACCACTGTCTCTGTTTTCACAACATCCCAAGAAGCTTTGACACATTCACGAATGAGGTATCAACGCAATAAGTACCAACGTATAAGACGCATCCCATTTTTCAGACCTATTTTCAAAGGAAAAAAGTGCATCTTATACGCCGGCTAATAGGGTCATCAATTAAAAAAAAAAAAAAAAAAGAAGAGAGAGAGAGAAAGGTAGATATATTAATTTGTTTGTTGGTATACTTTTTTTAAAAAAAAAGGTCTGATTGCTCTGTCTTCCTCTGCTCCAAATACTCTTTACTGTTTACCATTTAAGAAATGATTTCAATATATCCTAAAAAAGAGAGAAAGGTAGATATATTAATTTGTTTGTTGGTATACTTTAAAAAAAAAAAAAGGTCTGATTGCTCTGTCTTCCTCTGCTCCAAATACTCTTTACCATTTAAGAAATGATTTCAATATATCCTTATATTGCTTATAATATACAAAAGTTTTTTTAAAGCATTCTATTTTAAAATAATTACTTAATTGTAATAGAATTCGTCACTGCTTCAGTTCGTTTATATTGACCTTAAAATAAAAACTAACAGTTACAAAAAAAAAAAGAGAGGACAACATCCTTCAGTTACTTAATTACCTATTTGAAAAAGCATTTTTGAATACTTATCAATAATAATTGATTTTTCAGGTAAATATTTCACTTATGGCAGAAAACCGTAACTATAATACTGGAAATAAAGAAAATGTGGCTGATTCAGATTTATCCAAAGAAACAATAGCATAATCATCTTTTAACGTTTAAAATGGATATAAAATAATTCTTACATCAATTTGGCTTTAAACTGGACTTTGGATATGATTTCTTTTCATATTCTTTCCAGTTGTTTTAGTGCATGAAACAAAAATTATTCAAACTCATACGGGAATTTAAGATTTTTAAGAGTATATGGTTGATTAAAATTTTTATGTTGTAATTATCCTACCACCTTTTTACTTACTGACATTTGTGAGAAGAGAAATAATATTGCAGGTAAATGTCATATTTTTAATAGTAAATAAAAAAATTGGTTTCTACTTCAATTTTTATCAAGGGCTGAGAAGAATATAACTTTAATGACAGGTGGAAATCTGACTGGAGCAATAAGATATTCTACATGGTAACAGAAAGGTAAATGCTATTGTTCAGAAAAATACTTTCTTGCAATCTAAAAAGTAAGAAAAAAGTATATCGAAATGGTATTGGTAATGATTATTAAAGCAAAAATTAAGATTAGAAACAAAATTTTAAAGTTTTCTGATTGTTTTTGTAGGAAGGTGCTAACATGAGTATACTAATTTTCAAGAATCAAGCTATAATACACATTACAATTAATTTGTTTAAAGGAAATTTTAAATCACTTTTCCAAATTAAATACTTGCTATAAATTTTTATTTTTCAGATTGTGAAGATCACTATGAGTGGTGCCCTGTTTCAACAAATGAAAGACTGTGTGGTCTTAAATTTTACATCACAAATTGTTGTAAGTCATGTAGGAAAAAATTATGAAACAATATGTAACACTGAAAATATGATTTGTATAGTTATGCTGTATTTATATTTGACCATAAATCATGGATCACTGCTTTTAAACAGCCACATTCATTCAACGCAGTATTTATTATTTCGTTCAAATATAAGACATTTTTATAATCTGCTTTGTATTTAAATTAATTCAGACTAAAAAAAAAAAAAAAAATTAAAGCAAAGAATTTTTGAAAATCATCAGTCTTGTAAAATATTTAAAACAAAGACAGTACAAAACATTTTATTGTGACAAACTCATAACAAAACACACAGCAGTAAACTACCCTAGCAGACATAAAAAATGCTATTCATTAAAGAACTTGCTCAACAATAACCAAACACACAACTTAAACAAGAACACTAAAAATGGAGTGCCTGAACTTTTTTTAATATATATTTTAAATAATGCAATATATGTCAGGATTTAATTCAAATAATTATTATGCATTTCCATTTGTATTCATTTGGAATCTGACTTTAAAAAAAAAATTAAGAGAGTTCTGCATAAAACTTGAATATTGATCAGGATCCAAAATATCACATGATAATCTAAAACATTTTTCTGGATTAGAATATAAAACTAATAATTATTTTTAATCAAATCTAATACAGCAACGCAAAAGGCAAACAATTTTCCTTTTAATATAGATCTGGTTAAAGATACTCTGAATAAAATATATAAACAGAATTTAAAAGTAAATTGATAAAATTCAGATTAATAACAAAAGTGACTAAATAAATGTGTAATTCACAAAAGCCAATATAATGCTTGTTTTGAGAAATACATGATAAATACAAATATCAGATATGTAATATAAAAATAAATAAAAAAATATAAATAAAAAAAATCAGATCTATATTCATACTTTTTGAACAAAATAAAATGTCATGCGTTTTCTAAGAAACATTATAATACACCCCACTTTGTGCATGCTTTTAAAAGGATCAAGTGTCATGCAGGGTTGGTAATCACAGAACTCCAGCCAGAAATTTACTAAGAAAGAAACAAATATATTAAAATGCTTGCAATACTATAAAAATATATTCTTTAATTTTTCAAACATTAAAGAAGCCATTATCACAGCAAGTGTCACTTAGAATACTAAATTAAGAATTTAATTTTCTACGTTATGAATTTTCAAAAAATATACTTGATAAATATCAAAATCTATAATAATATGTCTAAGCCAACAGCAATTTTAATATCGGTGATCATAAAATTTACAGCAGTAATTAAGCTCAAGCTAAACCTAATAGTATTGATTTTTTAAATAACTGCTGTCACAAAAATTGGCTAACCATTTTCCTAAACTAATAAAAAACTATTACACAGGAAGTCCTTTATAAATTAACATATTTATGAATATTATATGGAAAATAATAATTCAATATATCATGATTTTAAAATTGTTTTTTTGGGTGGCTATATCAATAAATGTAAAATATAAAAGTAACAATACATTATACCATTCTAAAAAAACAGTATAATAAAAAGTATATTCTTTGTCGATAGAAATAAATCAATTTTATTATTTTCCCGTGGGCTATAGGGGCCAATTTCGAACGTATTATGGCCATTTAGTCACTTATTTTAAATGAAAGGAACAGAAAAACAAATCTACAGGGTCTTGCACTTCATAATCCATATTAAAGAGTAAATTTTAAATCTCCATAGTTTACTGAAATTTTTTGAGACACATTTAAAGTAGTGAAAGCAAGGGACATATATGTCCCAGCCCCCTGGAAAAGGTTAACTAAATTAAAAATATATAATTATTTATACAATTTTATAGTTGCTCCTTCACATTTTAAAAACAGTAAATACTTTTTTCACTTAAAATGCACTAATACATGAATAAGGCAATTATTTTTTAGATATGGAAATGTAATATGTAAGAAATACAAGCATTCTCCCCTTTTGATATATATTTTCCCTTCTGATATATATTTTAATTATTCATTCTTTTGTAGTTTTTCATATAACTAGAACCCATTATACTTGAAAGAAATTTACTCTTTTCATTCAATTTCTTATGCTGCTTGGTAAAATAAAGTTTCTATTTAATTTAATGTGGAAAAAAATTTTGCTATGAATCATTTATTTACAGTGTATTTATTTATATTTCAAACAAAATTCATTGGCACATTTTTTAGGGCAAGGAGCTTTCCATTCTGAGAATTTTGGTTTTGAGTAAACAGTCAGAAACCTCATATTTGTTTTGAAATCTAATACATCATCAAAATTTCTAAAATTAAGATCTTGTCTGTCAAGAATCAAGTTTCCCCCCCCTTCCCCAGCAGACATTTGCTAGCATAATAATTTAAATATAAATTAAGCAAATTCAACACAGCAGCTTTCTTGCAAGGATGAAATATAACTACAAAGAAATTAGGCTACTTCTACAATCATAATTTGTTCAAATGTATTATTTCAGTCAGCAACCTTCAAAATTTAGCCAATATTAAATCATACTATACAAATAAATATAAAGTGCAACCCCCCCCCCCAAAAAAAGGGAGACAATTCTATAGCGCCTGCTCCTGTTTTACTAGGCCAATTGACAAAACTCAAATTGCGTTTTTCATGTCTCGAAAGCGTGACTTGGGATATATATTAGATTTATATATAGCATCATTCTAACATAGGTATTTTGACACAAAATCAGACTTTTTCTGAAATGACATGCCAATTTTTTTCCATATTTTGATTCTACGACTCAAATTATGCTTAATATTAAATTTTATAAAATATGGTGCAAAATTTACGGAGAAATTCAAAATTTCACGTTGCCATATTTTGTTCAGTTTTTGCCAAGAATAAGTTACTTGGTGAACTTCTTAATTTATAGTAACTTATTTTCCTTTTCTTTTTTTCATTGCTGACGACCAGAAAAAAGTCATTGTTCATACTTTCAAATAATTTTAACAAAGTGCGTAAACCACATTTGGCTTTATTATTGCTCAAAAAAAAGGTGCCAAATTTTAAAATCCTCCTATATGTAAATTAATGTATATCTTAGAAAATTTTGAATAAAAACTCTAGTTTTTTGCAGGTGTGCCTAGAAATACATCTACTTTAAGATGACAAAAATTTTATAGGTTATAACACAAAACTTTTTTTCAAAAAATTTATAAAACATATTTAAAAATACAAATTTTAAAAGTAAATCATAAAAATATGCAAATTATATTTGGATTAAGCCTAAATTTTGAATTCTGGAAGAAGGAATCAAGCAAGTTTAATAAAAAAGATATTAATAAATACATATCAAATTCAATTAACATTGAGGAGCTAAAATTTTGAGAGCCAATTTTTTAAAAACTACTTGTAAGATTTTTACAAAACATGGCAGTCTGCCATAATTTGAGTCCTTTAATCGAAATATGGAAAAAAAATTGGCATGTCATTTCAGAAAAATCCAATTTTGTGTCAAAATACCCATTTTATGTCAAAATACCTATTTTAGAACAACGTTATATATAAATGTAATATATATCTTAAGTCGTGCTTTCAAGACATGAAAAAAGCAAGTGAATTTTGTCAATCGGCCCAGTAGAACAGGAGATATAGAACTGCCCCGTTTTTTTCTTGCGCGGTGTACATATATAAATATATGCAATATAAAATATGTAAATCAACTTTATAATTCAATTTAGCAATAGGCTTTTAATTTCTAATTTTTTATTTGGGTATTTCCTTTCTGTATTCTAAAATTAGTAATAACTTTTCTGGACTGCATTTCTAGATTAATCTATGTCACATGGATTACATAATGCTCATGATGTATCTAATTCAGAATCCGAATTAAAAATTTTGAGAACCAAGACCTTTCTAATCTCAAACAAAACCTTCTCTTAGTGAGCCCTGGACAATTGGGCACTTAAGCTTCTGCCTCTTTTCCGATTAAGAGGCTATTTCCCTTGCTCCTTTCCTATTGTAGCAGTATTAAAAAATGTAAAATTTTAAATAGGCACATTTAGAGTGCCAAGTAAATTGTGGCCACAAATGTCAATTGGAATAAAAATGAATTTTAACCTTTCTTAGCTGCCAAGTCTACTAATCATTATGGATTCAACATTTTGGCATTCTATTCAATCAGAATTCTTCCTCTTCAATATGAATCTATGTTCTATGCCATAAACATTGCTACTTCCCCCCCTTTTTCATAACATCTTTGAAACAAATCATCATCTCAGTTAATCAATCCAACATTTAAAATAATTAATAAAAATTCAGCAACATTTCAAATATGCATAATATTTTAATAATATAACTCACTGCGTGTCTGAAATGAAAAATATATTCATTGCAGCACATTTGTTTTGAACAACAAACTTCACACTAACTTTCAAACAGGAAAACACAAATGACTGTTAATTAGATGCATAAGGGGAAAAAAAAAAAAAAAAAAAAAGAATAGTGAAAAACATAATAAGAACCAGAGGGGAGAAAAAAAGAAAGTTTATGAATATGGAAATGTGAAAAGCCTCGTATTTTCACTTCAGTACCAAAAATATGGCAAAATAAAATCTACAAACAGAAACATAAATAAATCACTATTTTGACTCGATATTATTATTACTCGATATTATAACTATTTTGCCTCTAGGAGCTTATAAAATATAAAAGAGTTTCTCTTTTATCATTTTGTCCCATAATAAAAAAGTTTCGTATTTTCAATAAACAAAATATGTAAAAATATTGCTTGCAAGTGGATTTTTAATAAATATGTTATCTACATACAGTAAGACCCCGCTTAACGCTGTTTCGTTTAGCGTTGTTTCGGTTTAGCGCTCTTTTATTTCAACCCGGGGATTCCACGAAATCGCTCGCAGCATACGGGGGATTCCGTGAAATATTATGCAGCGATAGGTTTCAAATACATATCCGAAAGAGTGTACTTGTATTTCTTGTTTGGTGCGGTGTTGTACAGACATATTTTGAAGGGGTAAATGTGGAAGATGTCGAAGAAATAATTCAAGAAGCTGCGGCTAGTCTTTCTAATGATAAGCTCAAGGAATTAACTGAACAAGAAGAAAACAAAAATGTTGACAGCAGTGATTCAGAAGAAGAGCAAAAAGAACTTTCGATGGCGTTTGAAAAAGGCGTTAACCAATTTCCTAGCCATCTTCCCTTAACCCCAATATTTACATGTAAAGATAGCCTCGTTTAGCACTGTTTCGCATTACGCTCTACTTTGATGGAACGTATCCCCCGTGTTAAGCGGGGTCTTACTGTATGTTCATCTTTGAAATTTGGATAAAAAATTTAAAAAATGCTATTCTTAATTCAAATACTTAGATTTCAGAATTATTAGTTTTATTAAAAGATATTTTATGTATGCATATATATATATATATATATATATATTGCTTTAATTTGGAAATCCTCATCTGTAAGTAGAATATTTTTGAACTATATCCAATTCCTACCCCCCCAAAAAAGTTATAATATTTTCTTTTCACTCAATATTTATTCAGACACAACACATATTGTACTCGATGTACAATATGCAATGGGGGCAAAAATGAATAAATTAAGAGTAAAACACTGATCTAAATAATATGTAAAAATAAAATGAAGCAAGTTCATTCAAAATTAAAATCTGCACATAAAGTAAAGCTGCCATCACTCAGGAGTTTTTGAAAAAATATAAATCTTCTTTCACATTTAATACTAAAAATGATCTATCAAATATTGGTCACCAGAGTTCATCTACAACATGTTTTTATAATTCTCAATACTAAGCATTTATGATGTTAATAAGGCCACATCTACACACTAATTGCCAGAGGTTTGAAATTTCAAAGCCATACTTCACAAGACTAAACAAGACTTTAATTATTATTTTTTTTTTACAATTATTCTCCCCCCCCCAAAAAAAAACAAGTAAGTCAATAATTAAGAAAACACATACAAATGTTTGCTAAGAGCTTTCAAAACTGACTGTTGATGCCCTTATTTAATTATATTAATAGAATGAAGTAATAATTGGGTCTGACTACAGAATACTTTATTTTCCTCAGAACTGGCAAGGATACCGAATTCTTAAAGGACCCCTCCTTTAAGAATTCGGTATCCTTTAAGAATCTGGTAAAAAAGGACAGTTAAGTAATAAAAATAAAATACGGACAGTTAAAACAAGAATGGTTAAAAAGGTGTCTGCTGTGCTAAGCAATAATTTTGAACAGGTTTTTTTTTCCACCATGCTATGTGTAAATCTGAATATGTCATTATGTATTTTCTTATAAATTTTTTCAGAATTGAATCACACAGATTTGGATGTCACAGCTGTGATATGTAAAATGAAAACAGCTCCATTAATGCATAGAATAAGAATGTTATCGTATCTCTGAAAATGATAGCATTTGTCTTTTAAAAACATAAAATATCACATTAATTCAAGAATTCTACTATGCATAGAAATGCTATTTAAAAAAAAAAAAAAGGAAAATGCCAGAAAAGGGGAGGGGGAATAAATATCCTGATAGTTATTGTTAAATTCAATGCTCATCAGCATTCAGCTCACTATAAATTATTGATTATTATGTTATTATATTATTGATTATAATGCATAATGCTGATTTTTAAACTATTCCACATGGAAAAATAAGTATACTTGAAATTAGTCAACCATTAGTTTTGATAGTTTAGATAGGTAATGTTAAATTCAATGCTAATGAACATTCAGCTGACTATAAATTATTGACCAATGTTATTATATTGTTGATTATAAAGCATAACACTGATTTTTAAACTATTCCATGTGGAAAAATAAGTATATTTAAAATTAGTCAACCATTTGTTATGATCACATCAATAACTGCCAATTTTAATATTTTAATGTAATTCATAGCCAGCAAATTAAAAGCATATCAAACTGCAAGTAAAAAGTGCAATACACAGAACTTTGAAATTCTACATTTTGAGCATAAAAAAAATTTAAAACTGATATACTCTAAAAATGTTAATCTCACTGATAAAAAAAAAATAAAATAAAAACTTCATAATGTTGATTTAAAAAATATTATTATTCAATATTTTTCTGGAAAAAAAAAGCCTCTTTTTAATTTTTATAACCTCTATCAAAATATTTACTTACAACTGCCAGATATTTTAAAAATGATTATCAATATTCTAAAAAAAAAAGTGAAACTTTAAAAAAATTTAAAATATATTGCATAAACTATTAATATTTTTATAACTACAATATTTTTAAATAATGCTTTGTTTTAAATATTATATAGTAAACAAATTAATATCTGTAAATAACATACTAAAAAGAACTTGCAGACTAGAGGTCAAGAATGAAAAATCTCATATTTTAAGATAACAGCCCACTTATCTAAAAGTATTTATAAGGCTTTTCATACTTCATCTAATAATTTAAAATTAGAGATTCAACATTACAAAACAACTTAAAACACTATAGTCAGAAAAAACTTCAGATATATGCTACAAGTTGTGCTTCTAAATTATAAAACAGACAAGACATAAATTTCAGAGATTAGCTATAAAAAGAGTACTCAAGTATTAGCACAACCACTTTAATAGAAGTCACCAAATTTTTAAAATACGCCAAAACTCTAGCAATCATGTGTATAACAATTTTTCAGTTTTAACAAGTAACATAGCATTTTCATTATGTGTTCCTGCATTCAAAGTTCCAACTGTTTTTATACATAAATGATATTTTTACTTTATTCAATTAAAAAATATATGCTTATGGAATTTACTTGAAATGGAAGAAATTACCATAAACTTTCTCAAGTATATGTACTTTGCAGCAAAAATGCTAAAGGACATTATGCTTTAAATCTACTCTAAAAGCAACAGAAAAAAACCAGACTTCATCAGGTTGTTGTGCTAATGTGTAAATACTAAAATAGTTTTCAAATTCAGTTGCTGAAACTCAAGAATTTTAACAACCATCCTGTTTCATATTCATTTCATATTTAAATTATCAAAGCAAGCAATCTGGATCATTACATAATTTTTTTTTTTAAATTTTCTATTCCTTATAAATTGATGCCACTGAAAATCAAAAATATTTCAACAATTAATCCCTTACTTCACGAGAAAAAAATATTTCATTGGTCTGTTGAGTAACTCTGATAAATGTTGTACGACGTGGAAGCTCCTTCAATTTGCTAGCTCCAGTGTATGTGCATGCTGAACGTAATCCACCTAGAATATCTAATATTGTCTTTTCAATGTCTCCACGATAAGGTACTTCAACTGTTTTTCCTTCAGATGCCCTGTGTTTGAAAAAAGAATAATTTTCTTGTTATGTAAAAACTAAACTGTTAAAGATGAATATAATTTAAATTACTATGCAAATAGTTAAATTAATTATATTCAAGCAATATTCCTTTTCAGATAAGGTTTGTGACACAATAAGATCTTCACAACATGAAAGACATAAATAATCCCATCTGTAATAATATAACAATAAAAAAGTATTAGTAATGATTCTACAAAACTGAAGGTTTTCAAATTGGTCAATATTTATAACATCATTTTCTAACTGCAACACATTTACACTAACATTATTTACAATCCCCAAAACATATTTTAAAAATCATGCTCATAACACCTATTCAGAATTCAAGCAATTTTTTTTAATTGGCTTAAAGTTGTCATCCTGATGCCACAATTTTAATTGTGTAACTAGGCTGTATCAGACAATTTGGAAAAGTTATATTTATTGAATTTTTGGCAAAAAATTCTCTCACACACATTTAAAAAAAAAAAAAGCAATATGAGCAGATGCAATATTATGGCACACCCATGAAACAACTCATGGATGATTGCAGATGCATTACCATGACAGAATCATGAGTTAGCTCATGGATTCAGAATTACATCATGTAAATGCTTCAAAATATTCAAGTAATAATTTTATTAAGTATGTTTCAGGTAATACTGGGTTTTCATGAAAGTTTCCCCGCAAATATTGTCTGCATAAACAGTTCATGTTGGTGTGTGGAAGTGGCGTGTTTAATTATATTTTTATTAAACATGCCAATTATGTACATTTACTTCCAGTTCTGTTGCAAAAAGTCAACTATAGTATGTCACCAAATCATGTGTTTAGGTACTAATGTTGTATCATATGACACTGTGAAGGTTTGGTACTGAAAATTCAAAAAACAAGAACTATGACATTCAACAAGCAGAGCACTCTGACCAACCTGCTGATGTTGATGAGGCCCACCTTCGAGAACTTGTGAAAGAAGATCAGTATGCAACCACTCGAGAGCTTGCTAAGGAGTTAGATGTTAGTGTCATGTTTTTTAGCATTTTTAAGTAGTTTTCTTTATTTATTTATTGTTGTTACAGCTGTATTTAAAGACTCTGCAATTGATTTGGGGCCAACAGATTTTTCTCTTGTTACCAATGATTTAACATTAAAAACAATATCCACCTTTTTCAGATATTTGTTTCTTCTTTCCGTGTAGACTGAAGGTTTTCCGATTAATAACCCTGCTTATTTTGCACTTATATATTTAAATGCAATGCATTTGACAATACTTTTAAATTATACAATAGGAATCTTTCTCTTCAGAAAGTGTAAAAATACATCTTTCAATCCACAGCTTGTTTACATGCGATATTTTGAAAGAAGAATAAATTTAAAGTGGCAGATGATATTTCTCATTTCGAAAAGTAAGCTATTGGCAGAAATTTTTATTCAAGAGCATTTTCTTTTTTTTAATTTTTTATCGAAATTGTTCTAAAAAACATGTAAATACATTCACAGTCCATGAGATTAGCATACCCTGAAGAAATCATGCCATAACAAACTATGCAAATGGCTCAGGTGAATTCTGATATGCAAATGATTAAAGTTTGGTGAAAGTATGCTTGGTCACATACCATGCAATGCCACTGCAACAGTTAACTGGCAGATATGGATGGCAGCATCATGTCATCTCCACAAGGAATGTGAAAATCATCATGATATAAATGACCATGTACAGAAGATGTCTTTATACATCAAGAACACAATTTGTACATGAGAGCAACTTCCACAGTCTTTATTATTAGAATAAAAATTGCAAGATGGTTGGCTTACCATATAGCCTACCACATGGATTATTTAAGCTACATCATTTTTCAATATCTGCAAGAAAGAGCAAGTAAGGAGAACTACACATAGCAGGCTAGTTCAGGAAGGTGTAGGCAGATTCACATGGTGAAATGTTATGTAAATATTTTCTTTAGCTGAGGTTAAAGGAAATAAAGAATTCTTAAAGTGTGGAAAATCATGACAGAAAACTTGCCTCAAGTGAGTGAAAATTTGTTTATCTTTGTTTCATTTGAATTTAGCAGTTAGATTTAATTTCATAATTTTCTTTTTGAAGGTGTAGGAATCAACTTTTTTTTTCATTAAATCCATTTAAATTTCAAATAAGTGCACACTGCAGTTTTATTGAAAAATTAAGGAAGTGTATTTGACAAAACAATGAGATTATTCGAAATGAAGCAGTGCACACACAAACACATACACACACACACAAAAAAAAAAAGGCTTTTGTTTACTTAGAATTATTTTTATTTCCTGAATGTTTAAAAAATATTAACTGCTAATGAAAATATACAAATCTACCACCTAGAGTACTAAGTTCGAAATATGTACAGTATCCAGAATGATCTAACATCTGGACATCTAGACTACCAAACCACAAAAAAATAACCTCAAATTCTAAGAATGAAGAATATAATACTCAAGAAAAAGCAAGTGTGCAGTAAAAGCAATTTTCTGACTAATACTTCTATTTGACACTTTCAAATACGTGCTGGCTAGGAAATCACAACATGGATAATAACAGTACATCGACTGATGCTGTATTGACAAACATACTTTCAGCCCTTGAATGAT